TCAGTATCGGCACAACGAGTGAAATACAGTATATGAGCGCCGCTGCGCTGTAAGACAACAGCAGAGTGTGGTCATCGCACTGACGTCCCTACACGCATAACAGCGCGTGATGTCACGAATCTTCGTGCGTAGACATGAGTGACGACCACGCTATGAATAGATCACTCAGGCACACATGATATCTTTCTTAACTTTCTTCATGTTAATACCATCTTTAAGGCACAATGGAGTAATAATTTAATAATTTATATACACCGGTCTTGAGATACGATGTCCTGATACTGGAATAATTTACTAACATCATTCTTTATATACGATGCACTCTTACTAAAATGTATGGTACGCATGTTATATATCATTAGACAGGAAGATTTTAAACGCATAAAACTTCTATCTTAACCCAGAGATCATGAAAATTGGTGGCAGTATTAAAATTATTGTGGACGAGGAGCATTCGTTTACAGAAATTAAAATGAAATTATCAATATAGAAACAGGAAGAATGCATTTGCATGTTAGATTAAAATGTTGATGTGAACCATGAAGACCAGAAACACATTGCGACTCCAACTTGGGCATGAAAAGGCTTTTACTCATAACGACTTCTATCATTCATTTGCCAGTAAATTTTATTTTACGTACTCAAATTGGTATTCCAGCGAGATTATACTGATGTGAGCGAAGAGCAACTTTCAAGAGAATGTATGCATAAAAATCCTAACACTTCGACAGTTTTGTTATTCCCGACTTGGTAAGCATTAAAGATCTCATTCTCGTTAGGTGCTGAAATTTGAAAAAGCTTTATTTAACCACAAACGACAGGCACACAACGAAATATCGCGTATGTGAAGACTGTTTCTGAATAATGTTTTAAGAAAATGAACAAGGCAGAGTTTAAGGTAAAGAAGAATTGTAAAATCGGAAGAGGAAGCTAATGAATGAAGAGGGTGATTAAAATAAAAGAGACCACACAATGGATTTACAAGCTAAGAATTTTCAGCAGAATTAGCAAGTAGAGAGTAACATTAATTGGAGGAACTTTGAAGTATATCAAATGGCAAAGAAAGAATCATAACAATAACGGTGCTTCGGTGAATAAAATTTAGTTGAAATTATTGATTATTATTATTATGAATAAATAATTATAGTCAGTGCCCCGGTAGATGGAAAAATAATGAATCACTGTGATTGAATGTAGATAAAAGGCAATTAAAATGAAGTTGAATCGATTGAATGTAATCTATGAGTGTATTTTTCTCAACAAAATAGTCTCGGACTCGCGACTTGATCATAAGTTTTCAGTCATGACCGAGAAAAATATTTTCACCCAAAACAAAACAAGAAACAAGACCCAAGACCAGTGGTCACGCCTATAGACTAAAAAACTGCTTTGTAACACATCCGTGCGACAACATTTCTTCTCGCTTCGAGTCACCGACTTGTGGAATAGCCTCCCTGATAGCATCGTTGACGCTCCGAGTATGAATGCTTCAAGAACAGACTAGAGTCACTAGACGAAGCTATGCAGGAACATTATGTTCATACATGAAATGCCTATATATCAACTTACGGGCCTTGCAATAAGTCCAGGAGCTATCTTAATCAATCGTCAATTATGAAATTATCGGGTTCAAGAGGCTGGATCCCTTGTGGAATCAGGGCCTATGCTTTCAAAAAAAGTTAAAGAGATAACATCAACCAATCATTGACGGCCTTTCAAGCAAAATCCACAAATCATAGGCAAGAAAATAGAACGTAAGTACTTACGTTCACTTAGCGAGTTTTGAAAGTATGGCCCCAGAACACGAAAAGTTCAAAAATCGGCAACAGGCCATGAGCCTATTTCTTCAGTGCCCACACTTTTATTCTATTATATTCACGCAGCATTTCGTGTTTCACCAAAGTCAACATTTTAAAAAAGTTATACCACAAATGTTTCTTTACGTGTAAAGAAAAACTCTGTATTTTGACATAAACTCAAATAAAAGTAAGATGGAAACTAGGGGTTTCGTTGCAGAATTTCGCTATGAATTTTTTCTAAAAAGATAACCGAATAATATTTGTCTGATTATCAAATTCTTTGACATGACAAAATTTTACTCATAATCGTTGATTTGATGTAGGTTTCAATTATTTATCGAGTTAACAAAATTTTTCGACTCTTATGCAGCGTTAAGTCATGTTTTTACAAACATAAGTACTTGTCATCAACTGAAATTTTATATCTCAAAAGTCACGCAATTTAGCTAAATAGCAGTTTTCGCTGCTAATGGTAAATTGTTGTAAATTATCTGTAGTTTAAGTTTTTTGCCGTATACAATGCCCTCCTAAAGTGACTGTCACGTCAAGCAGAGTCTTTATCAGGACATTCAGTCAAATAAAAAGTTCTCTTCTCGATTTTCAGAATAAAACGAACAATTTATATAACAAATTAGCACGGTTTGGAAAATGAGACTGCAGTTCGAATTTTGATCTCGGTTCGAAAAATCAATTCATGGCGATAAAAATGAATTCACAGCACCATTTTTTGTGCTATTTATGCGAAATAATCAAATAAATCATGGTCCGTGGCTCAACCAGTTGCCAATCTCAACCATTTGCCAATCTCAACCAGTTGCCAATAGCAACCATTTGCCAATCTCAACCAGTTGCCAATATCAACCAATTGCCAATCTCAACCAGTCTCCAATCTCAACCAATTGCCAATCTCAACCAGTTGCCAATCTCAACTAGTTGCCAATCTCAACTAGTTGCCAATCTCAACCAGTTGCCAATTTCAACCAGTTGCCAATCTTAACCAGTTGCCAATCTCAACCAGTTGCCAATTTCAACCAGTTGCCAATCTCAACCAGTTGCCAATCTCAACCAGTTGCCAATTTCAACCAGTATTTCAACCTGTTACCACTTGGAAAGTCGAAATTTCCAAGTCTTGCCAAGATACTCGATATATAAGGCAAGATGAGAGTTCCAGACGAGAGTGTCTCTGTGGCACTGGCCGAGAAGTGGACTTCATTCTGTGGTTATTACGCCGTGTGATTTGCTCTTGAGATCACCAAAAATAATCTTTTGAACATCATTATCGACTCTAGACATTTCATGAAAATATTCCGTTTTCACGATAAATACAAACTCTGATATCGCACAGATCACGAAGTTCAAGTTACCGGTAGTATGGATCAATGCACCTCAGGCCACTTCATCCAATTCATGTCAAATCTAAAATAATATTATCAAAGATTCCATTTAAAAATATTTTTCATTCAAGCGAGGTAAGTTTTTTTCCAGAGAAATTTGGAATCTACCAAAAAATAGTAAGTATCAGTGCTTCAAGATTTATGATGTTTATGGATATGAGACGATTTGTACTTCTTATTTTTCCTTTATTGCAAATAGATTTTCCTTATTATCTTTTTATTTTTTAACTATAAAATGTTATATATTGTACATTCAATTCTTTTTGACATATTTAAGGAAATTTAAGAAGAAATATTTCAATGCAGAAAGCAAGTCGCTTCTGTACGAAGTTAACCCTTCGATCTGAACGACATCGGACATTTTCTACACTCGAAAATCAATTCGGATTTTAGTAAATAGTTCATCAGTAAAATGACAGCCACTACTATTTTGTTCACTACTATTTTGTTCTATTTTAATAGAACAAAATAGTAGTGATTTCTTGTACATGAATGATTGTATTCATGTTCATGTACATGAATGATTGTTTTCATGTTCATGTACATGAACGATTTCTTGTAGATGAATATGTTTCTTGAACGGAAAGACTTTCTTGAAGTTGTCAAACCTGCTCAGAACGAAGTAAACCTCATCGAAATCAGGGCCTGGACTAGTTTTTGTTATGTTCGGTGTGGCTAAAATGAAACTTGCAGTTACGTTGCAGAAATTCGCTAAAAATTGTCTAGAAAAAATAAACGAATAATATTTTGTCCGATTATCCAATTAACTGACAAAAATTGAGAAAACATGATGGAAGAAATTTTAATTCCACAGAATAGCCCAAACCTAGAGCCATTAATCACTAATCATGATACTCATTCAATCAAATTAATTGCCGAGTCCTCTGATTGCAGGCATTTAGCAGGCGGTTCTAACTAGACATATTATATTCTAACTAACGAACTAACTGGGGCTAAACTTCAAAATATTTCATAGTGAGCAAATTCCGGAAATGAATAAAATGTTTTTTTTTTTACTCCGGGTAAATTTTAATACAGCATGATCCTGAAACTGCATGAAAATTAAGACATCTTTACCAACTCTACAAAATCCGTTTGGAAAAATTTATGGTCTACTCAAAAGACGACGTATTTTCCTACGCAACGTCTCTACAAGAAGAGCCCTTCATAGGTAAACGAATTTCCCATCGCATGGTCCGAAAGCCTGAGAACAAAGTCTAACAATTATCAGGCAAAAGTTATATATAATCGGGACAAAAAAAATTGAAAAAGAATGCGACGCAATGCAGCAAACGAAGACCCGAATTTCGAATTTCCGGTGCACAGGTTTAACATCATACTGGCCTTTCAAACGATTGTCAAAAGGCTTCGCCTTATATTACCTAAAAATATCTGAACAAATTATTTATTATATCTTGATCTAGCTTTAGCTTGTCATTACCGTTATTAATTTTATTTAAACCTAATCTGACTGAAAGTTTTACAAACCCGATTAGCAAATTTTGAACGGAACGCAGTTACAAACTCAAATCTGATTGATACTGCAGAAAGATCTACATATACAAATTTATCTGATAATCTATTTAACCTGGACCGTTTATCATTCTAAACCTTCAGCTAAAAATATAAATATAAGTAGAATGCAGAATTTAATACATTAATGTCCAAAATATTAGCATATTGGCAATAGAGCCCGTAACTGCACACAAGCTACCCAGAGATAGTGAGGCGTGTAGGCACGTATCGTTTTATTCACAAAATAATAATAATAATAATAATAAAAATAATGATAAAATGATGAAAATAATCGTGTTTTTTGCTTAGGGTTAACACGTCTCGCGACGTGTTATTACAGCCTATATTTTAAGTCATATAACATATGCAATGGGGCAAAGTCTTGCCAACACCGTGTTGGCGCTGGCGCTGGGATTCATTGCAAATTTGTTGGTCGGAAAATCGCCTTTTCCCACGGTCATCGTAGACGATGAAGTCACCGTGGACTTCATAGTAGGTGAGTACTTCTTCGGTTGATGCTTTGGTTCCCTTCTTTGTTGCATTCGAGTACCACTTGTAGGCCCTGTACATGTACAGTGATCAGGTACGATGCACTAGCTATGAAGTACTCGTCGTGCGTACTGACATCCAACAATTAATGAAATATTTATTACAGAATTCCAGTAAAGTGACGACGTTTCACGTATCCTTAATTTCATTACGAGTCAAATCGCTGTAAAACATGACATTTTTGCGAACACTAAAGAAAATAACCGTAGGCACAATTGCTAATAATTAAATGAATCCTCTCAGTGGGGTCAGGGTCAGCGGGTAGCCCAGTAGCGGCGCGGCTGTCGGAGGTGGAGGAGTGGCAGGTGCTGGTGCTGGAGGCCGGGGGGCAGCCCTCCCCTGAGAGTGCGGTGCCGGGTATAAGTTCCTTCGCCGCTCTCGAGGGCAGCGCCATGAATTACAACTACAGAACCACGCCGCAGAAGTACGCGCAGTTCAGCTACACCAACAACGTGAGTGCCAACAGAAACAAACCCTCTGGAATGCCCTGCACGTCCACATGGACAGATGAATGCATTACGGAAATTTATCGAAACATAAATGCTCGAACAAATTTTTGAACTAACCTTTGATGTAATCCAGATGTATATTAACCATCTACTGTATAATGCAGCAAATTTAAAAGCTTAGGCAAGTCAGTTACACCAGAGTTGTGCATTGGATGGACCGAGCAATGATATCGGAAATGGGCGCAGCTTGTCAGGCTTAACCAAAAACTCACCTTTGATCATGCGCCCATATGAGATCCTCCCCTGTGCAACCAATGCGTTCGATGCATTGAAATACTTTGGTCTTTAATGTTTTATATGATCTGAGATTTGGCTCTAATAATTTCACACTTTGGGAAATTAGTGAATATTTTTCAAAACAGTCCTGCACTTTTTCCTCTTCTGTTGGTCATTTTGACCCATTTGACCTGGCTTAGGACATATCAACGCTATACGTCTCCTCTTTGCTCGTGTTGTTGGAGTCACTATATATTTGGACAATTTGTCCTATTCATTTTTCTGACTGCATCACATTACTTAATTATAAGGCGTGCTACTAAAATTGTCGTGTAATTATGAGGCGTGCTTACCATATCTGGCGCAAAAATATTAATAATAAATTATTAACAAAGAGTAATAATAACAAATTATTAATAATAAAAAAGTCTTGCTCGCTCCGAGTTTCAGGATTGCTGTAGAGGATATTAGAGTTTCTACAATATCCTCTACAACCCTCACCTCAATATCCTCTATCCTCACATTCTACAAACGCGTCATTGGAGCACTGAGAAAACTATTCTAAGCAGAGGCAGCGACCAAGAAAAATTTTCGGAAACCAATCAAAATCATCAAGAGTAACAGACAAATTTCATAACTCATCTAAATTGCGCATTTAATTTAACATTTTATAGAAGTTCATAGAAGTTTTATTGGTTGCTTGACCTATTTGTGTGTAAACTTATTGCAAAATAACGCATAGACTCTGCGTTTGTCGCCTAATAATGATGATCTACGAATGATTTTGATAGAATTTAATCTTAAAAGTACATTTATTACTCGTTAATTGTTTAAAAACGTTGTTGTATTTTAGATTGGCTTTCCATTCTTTAAAGTACCAAGTTTTCCAGATAAGAGATATGTTGTATTGATTTCGCTTGATTTTCAGTCGTTTCCTGGACTCAGTGAATTAGGACAAAATAATTAACGTTTTTACCTTGCTATTGAAATCAACGTTATTAATCAATGGCAATCATGTAAGTACACGTTATTAATCAATCGCAATCATATAATTCTTGTTGTTGCAGACAACCCCGTACCCCAGCGGCAAAGTCATCGGAGGATCATCAGTCATAAATTACATGATGTACAACCGCGGCAACAAGTTCGACTTCGACCGCTGGGCGGCCCTCGGTAACCCGGGCTGGGACTACCAAACTGTACTCAAATACTTCAAAAAATTAGAGGACTACGGAGGACAGCTGACTGCAGAAAACAGTGAGGACGGTTGAAATTAAACCCAAAAATTGATAATGCTTCATTGTCCTTATGGTCGATGATATTTCTACTTATTAGGCTACTGAGAACCAGCAATCACGCTGACGATCGATAATTAATGACCTACAGGACCGTATCACGGCACTGGGGGACCTCTACGGGTGGAGAACAAAAGGTGGGGGTCGGCGGTGATGACCGCCTTCTTGGCCGCCGGCCTCGAGCTCGGCCATCCCACCCTTGACATCAACGCTGGGTCACAGATGGGCGAGTGTGCCGTGGCAAGTAGTTAGAATAGTACTTTAAAGTTTAAATTTATGTTATTCAAAGATGCTGTAGTTTCAAGCCGGCCTGAAGCTCAGCCATGCCACCCTTGATATCAACGCTGGGCTGCAAATATAAGAGTGCGTGTCAAGTGGTTAGAATAGTGCTTTGAATTCTATATTAATGTTAGTCATCGGTGTTAGCTTCAAGGAGGTTCAAACTAGTGAACTACTTTCAATGTATTAATAAGAAAATTATTTAAGATTTAAATAGGAGAATAATTGTCACCCTCAAATGCAAAAGACTGCAAATGGTCAAACTCCTGCACCTCGTGGCTTAGATATAGAGCATGACAGTAGGTTTGTACAGCAAGGAATTGACTGATGTTAGTGAATGAAAGCATCCTCGATGTAGTTAGGAGATAAGCTACCTGGCCTCAGTACAAATACTGTCGCTTGTAATGTACACAACATTGTGGTTAAAAATTTTCACATTAGTCACTTTTAAAGTTTTATTGTTATTCATATTTCGATCACGAAGTCTTCAGTCGTGAGAACCAAAGCTTTTGATACACCGCTACTTCTCTCGGTGTTATCTTCCTATAATTATTGGTCCGGTGCTGAGCAAATTCTGGATTAAATGGGTAGCTGCTTCACTTCATGCCTGTTCTTTAAACGGTAACTAATCCTAATTACCTGCAATATGAAAAGAATTATTCGTAGAATTTACAGTTATTTTTATTATTGTTATTAACAATTATTTTACGATGATCGTCGTATTTCCAGCATGGGTAATTAAGCTTAATCTAAGAACTCAAAGGCCTGAATTGAAAACAGTCCAATTGCAAACGTGAAACGAAGTTCTGATGTCCTACATAGGCAACGAGAATTTTAATTTTATGAATTTTTGAAAGCCACATATGACGTGAGAAAAATTGATCTCTGTGATCGATAAAATATTTGATCGTACATAAGATTTTCAACTTAGATTTTCATATCAGTTGAACATCCAACTACGACTTTAATCTTACAATGCAATTTCAACGCTAATTTTAATCTCGTATTGAAATTTTAACTTTGCTTCAATTCATATACAAAAGACTAAGACTATGACTCCCACGACGGGCTCAAGTTAATTGTACCGGGAATTGAACTGATGCAATTACCGACTTATTTCATTATTTTTTTGAACTTGAATCACATGCCCAAATAATAAATGCAAAATTAATTGCGCATAAATAGGCTTCAACACCCCTGACGTGACCGTGAAGAACGGGAAGCGACACACCGCAGCCGACGCGTTCCTGAGACCCAACCTGCAGCGCCCTAACCTGCGCCTGCAGAGCGGCTCGCATGTCACTAAGGTGAGAACTCTGCACGTTGTTTGTACATTTGATGTGTGTTCCTTGATCTGACACACGACAACTGAGTTTTGTTGTTTCATGATTTAGTCGTATATACAAGGTTACTAACAATACAAAATTTTGATATTTTTCCACCCTTATCGTCCAGTTTGGGCTTAATCCAGTGGTTATTTTCATCTTACATATAGTTCAGTCATACCTCGTAGAAGTAATAAATCCGTGAATGAACTCATATCTATGAATAAGTAGCTATTTATCAATTTATTTACTAATATTTAGTTGTGAAAATTCCTAAACTATTACTTACTGAAAATAACAACATTGAGATAGAAGCTATTTCCCATCTGCGTACAGACAGCATTGGGATCGAGAAATACTTCGAGTTAAATTTAATACAATCATCATCAATGAGGTGTTCAATTTATCGTTCATTCGGCAGATATTGTTCGATGATAATTTGAAAGCAACTGGCGTGGAATACCGTCAGGACAACAAGGTAAGTTGTCCTTCGCAATTTTATTTAACTCGCGACCGAATTTTTGCTTCGTTGTAAGCCTTCCTTGATATGAGCATCAACAATTTTTTCTTCCTCAACCAAAAAAATGTATTTTTTCGTTCATATTCCCAATTGAAGCTGAAATTTAATTTAAATCGTTACAAAATCTTTATTCATAACAGTCTAGACCGTCATGCACTTGAATTTTAATCGCATGCTTATTCTGAACCTTCAATGTTTTAAACATAACTTAATCATAGGGTCTTGATTGAATAATTCTTCTAAAACAAAAGTTTATTTATAGGTGTATGCCCCGACAAAATACGGTCGGCGATATTTGTAAGACAGAAGTTGACCAATCAAGTTAAACAAAATATAATCTGCCTCGTTAGACTAAGCGTGCTTACGCGCGCAAAGAAGTGGTGGTGTGCGCGGGTGCCATCGACAGCCCCAAGCTGCTCCTGCTCTCCGGCATCGGCCCCCAGCAACACCTCCAAGGTCTCGGCGTGAGTACAACATTTAGTTTAGTTAGCCTTTCAACTCTTGAGGCATAAAGACTAGAAAGTGCAAAGCAATAAATAAATTGCATGTGAATTATAAATGCGCTGAAAAAGTCAGTAATCGATTAGGTATACCACGTCAGATTAAAACGCTGGTTGACTTGCCGGGCGTTGGTGAGAACTTGCAAGATCATCCTACGGTGTTTGGGATCTCATGGAGCGTTCCGAAGGGAGAGGCCAGTTCAGTCAAGCGCGTACTGGGGCCTTCGTCGAAGTTGCTCTACAAACACTTAAGAAAAGGCAAGTGATGGAGTTTGCTTCCAATTGATACATACCATACACGAAGTTTATGAAAAAATTCCAATCTCCTGCATTTACATAAAATTAAATTGATACCTGTCCTATCAGTCTTGTAACTTAATTCTAATACAATTTTTTAATTTTAATTCTACAGTAGTTTTTTTTACTTAGAATTGAATTGAGCACGTTTTATTTCTATGGATAAAAATAGTTGCATTGGTGTCTGCTCGAATTCTGAAAATGAAAATTATTGAGAAATCAACCCATATTGAATTGAACACATTGTTTCGTGCGTATCAGTTTTTATCATTTATGCAATGTAGGCTAAAGTAATTTGAAGGTCTTAACTTCAAAATCTTCGTGTCTTCAGAGAAAAAATAAATAGGAAAATTATTAACTGAGTTAATAGGTTATTTCGAGACCAATTTCTTTTTAATATCAGGTCCCTTGAGCGCACCGTTAGGAGTTGAAGGGAACGCGTGGATGCGACTCGAGGAAGGGGGAGACCCAACTGTTCCTGACATGCAATTCCTGATCATATCTCAGGCACTCGGATTCAATTTTGACTTACTGCTCTCATCAGCGATCAGCTTAAAAAATAAGGTGACCTAATGACCCTAGATTTATCATCAAAACAACCATAGAATTTTTTTAATCACGAAATGTTAATGCTCCAGTACTTGTTGCTTTAATTTTTCTATGTGACACTGTTGAGGGATTGTTTTACATGATTTGTTGAGTGGCTGTCACGGTTGCGTTATGAACGACCAACCATTCAGTTGATAATACATGCGGGGTAAAAGCAGATCCATGGCACAATAACTAATAAAGAACATTCTGCCAACATAATTTTCTTTACACGAGCCAATGATACGACTAACAAATTCATTGAATACTATTAACTGTTCTTGGATTAACCAGAGTTATTGAAAAAATTACATCAATGATTGTTTGAAACAAACATTTAAAAAATAATTTTTATTTGGAAGATAGCCATGTCAACGCTCCCATCAAAATGTAAGAAATAAAACCTAATATAATTTCGCATTACGCGCCAGGGGCCACAGTACTAGATATTTAAATTTTAATTTCAGTATCATAATTTAAAAACAAATATGCATGTAGGAGTACCGAGGATATTTAAAAGCGTTGAGAGGGATCGAGGGCTTCAATATCGGCCCCATGCTGACCGTGCCCAAGAGTCGCGGCTCAGTCACTCTGCGCTCCAGCGATCCCTTCGACCCGCCGCTCATAGACCCAAATTTCTTGAGTCACCCCGACGATGTGGAGCTTTTCTTGAAAGGTTCGTACGCACATTGCAGTAAGAGTGTCACTGGGAGTAAAAACTGAACCAAGACATTGATCGAAAGATTAATTATTGGTCGAAACTTTAATTCAAAGAGGCATGAGATTGAATTCGGGGCATAGACTTTTGAGATTGAAAAATTCATCATGCGCCTGACTTGGAACTTGTGACGAAGAGTATTGACGGAGTAGAATTTAAAAACTCACGTTAATGACGATTAATATCGTTTGCCGTTGCGACAAAAAAAGTACCAGCATTTTTAAATTATATTGAAATGAAATTATCTTGATATGAAACTTTATTACTTATTATGTATTTAAACCCCATTTGTTCCGCGTCATTATTTAATGGATTTGTCTCAGTAGACTCTGGGCCAATCTCAATTTGCTTTATCATTATTCGTTTGTCAGTCCTTATAAACCTTCTATCGAACTGGCATAGATACCTATCGTATACATTAATTGTATTAAACAAGACCTGCATTAAGCATTATCTGTATTAAATATAACCTGCATTAAACATTATCTGTATTAAACATTACCTGTATTAAACATAACCCTTATTAAACATAACCCTTATTAAACATTTTCTGTATTAAACATTACCTGTATTAAAACTTACCTGTGTTCATTGTATTTCCAGGCATCAAGTTCGCGCTGGCGATTGGCAACACAACAGCGATGCGGGACGGCATCGGCGCCATGTTTGTTGCCGAGGTAAATTCCACGATCCTAAATTTCATAACAAATATTCTTTCAACGAAAGGAAAGAATTTATTTGTGAATTCAACACCAAGCTACACAGTTGTTATTTAACCAGTGACATGGCGAGCAAAACAGGCATGAATCTTGTAATTTCATTTCCTGTGTTCTTGTTGCATTTGAGGAAGCGTCGTTGTCACTTCCTTCTCACCTGATGTGTTTTGATTGTTTTTGGTTGGTTTCGTAAATTATCTTTTATAATCAACTTCATTGGTTGCAATTTAGTTTTCTTTACGAAATTCTAATTAGTATTGTAATTCAATTCACGATCTATAGCCACTACCAAGCTGCAGGCAGCACCCAGTGGTCCCAGACTAACAGGCATGTACAGAAGGCAGGGATTTACTTTATTATATCACACACAATATTTATTTAACTCCTTTTTTATCCACAACTTCATATACTTTATAATTACTATATAATATTGAACTCCATATCATTACGTGCAGCCACTACCAGGCTGCAAGGAGCATCCCGTGGGCTTATACGAACAGGCATATATAGGAAGCAAGTCTTTAAATCTCTTTGTCCAACATCACAAAATATTTATTGACCTTTTTTATTAGCAACTTCATGTACGTGATAATCACTATTTAACAGTGAACTCCATATCTATACGTGCAGCCACTACCAGGCTGCCAGACTCACCCCTGGGGCTCAGACGACTACTGGCGCTGCTTCACCCGCCACATGGCCTCCACCACCTACCACCCAGCCGGCACCTGCAAGATGGCACCCCTCACCGACCCCCTCGGTGTCGTCACCTCCACGCTCAAGTCAGCCAGCTTTAATATAATATCCTGAAGCTATTTTATATGTGAAAACTTTTAACTCATCAAATATCAGATGCTCAATCGCAATTAATTTGAGATTCTCTCGCCCATTCAATATTAGAATCATTACCTATAAACATTCCAGATCCTTCAGTTGATGCTCTCACATCATTGCTCTTCGCGCTTTTATATTACTTCCGTACTTGATGTAAATTAGTCAAATGAACGAGTCGCTTAGAAATAATTTCATAGTGAATGAAAAATATTGATTGCTTGATTGTTTGTGGCCTCTACCCAGTGAAAATTTACAGACGCGTCATCTTCTGATTTGGATTACTAGAAGCTGGGGCGACTCTAAATTTTGTTAGGGAAGTAACTTAATGAGCTAACGAGACATGATGGTGCATTATTTTGGTGCGCAGAGTGCGCGGCGTGAATGGACTGAGGGTTATCGACGCGTCCATCATGCCATACATCACTTCAGGTGAGATGTTGAACAATTAAACTGTCTGTTGAGGCTATCGTGTTTAATTACTAAACTTGCTTTGAGTTCATGAATTATATATTTCCTCTTTATGTTTGATAGGGACACATTCAAACCAAAATAAAACAGAGCCTCATTCATCCCTGCATTGTTAAGCCCCCTGATCATTTAGGTCGTTCCGATGAGCCACAGTGGATTAGTAAGGTCTTGTCTGGTGTATCTTTATTGGAGAGTGAAAACGTGAAAACAACACTAAAAATAGAATAAACTATTGCTGGATAAGTTTACGACTATAACTTATATATATATTAAAAAGAATTTGGACTATTGCTGAGCCTGTTACGTAGGCTATTACTGAAACTAATTGGAAACGTGAAGTAGGTCAGGGACCAAGTTCCTGAGTATAACTGATACTCCTGTAACGAATAAATGAACAAAAATTTATATCTAATAGAGAATTTACCTGCCCTGAATTAATAATCGGCAGGAATAAAATCTAACCATTAAATCCTTCTAAAATACTAGAACTCAAAATATACACACTTGAAAACATAAGAACTAGCTTAAGACTTAATATGCACTTTCTTAACTTATTCCTATCAATACAGGACGTACCTTACACATCAATGGTTAACACAATACTGAACCAGTAATTTAGCTTAGGTCACGTCAAACGCGCTCCAACACAAAAATACATAATCTCTAATGTAATTTTTACATACTTAAATCTGTTCAGTTCAACGCGTACACAATTACCTCACATGCAAAAAAGCGTTTTTCATGAAAAATTAAATAACTTTCAGAATTTTTTGGAACGACACACAATTGAGCTAGGATGGGACAAGTCTAGGTTTACCTGGTCCCGCTCTTAAGAATCTTATTCAAGTTGTTTTTCCAGCGAACACGAACGCCCCGGCGATCATGATCGGCGAACGTGGCGCGGATTTCATCAAAGAAGATCATGGCATTCAAATTAACATATAAAATAATCTATTTTTTTACATCGATCGTTATTGATCTTTTATTAGCAGTAGCTTCTCTGTCTTAGTGCTAGTTTAATATTTAAACCGTTTATAGACTTTTTGTTGTTGTAGAGTGAGTGGAAACTAAGTTTCATGTATTTGCATAACTTCGTAAGTTATGTTCTATACATGGATGATAAGATTATGAGAAAATTGTGCAATTATTGCTAACTTAATGTATGTATGCTATGTGAACATTCTGTATATTAATACACGAAATCAAGGAATGTTCTACTCAAATACTTTTGTAATTGTATGGATTGTATTTTTTCATTGCAAAAGAGTAGAAAATCAAAGATATTTATTAAATAAATTACTTATTTATACCTAGTTATTTTATACCTATTTTTCCTGTGCGGAATGCGAACAAACATTTGCCGAATTTTGTTCCTAACTAACCATAGACTACGATTGTCATGAACAAGTTGCATCGAACGGGGTTCGTAGAGAATTCGCATATTTTGCACTTGGAAATTTCGGGTTTTTCATGGCTCGTACATTTTTCACAGCGATCTATTAACCTCAAAATTACATCGATATTAGTTGCCTTGAAATAGATTTTATTTTCTGAAAACAAAGAAAAATATCAAAAACAAAACCAAGACTACAATTCCAACCCAGATGACTGGTTTTTTCATTTGCCTACTTTCTGCATTTTCTGACTCCGAATGTGTTTCTTGGGGTTGTGTTACAGTCACGGAAGGAATGACGTCAGCGTTTGTATGATTAGAATTATACTCTGGTTCAGTTCTTAAATATGAACTCTCTGTGTCGCTGGCTGTTAATATCTGGCTGTTTAATACCATCTGGATTAGCTGCTCAGAGTAACTTTGAGTCCAGTTGTACGGACATTCAATGTTTTGAGCAGTATTGAACTTGAAACATTTGTACGACTTAAATTTTGACTTCTGCCTATCCCACCTTGCGTGCTTTCCATTGCTAGGAACGTTCGCAAGAGAGTGGTTATTGGATGCCGGCTGACAGTTCAAATAAAGCCACCTTGCATCGTCATCGTCGACTTCAATCGCGATCTGAAGCTCGTGAGGACCCTGCTGTAATTTGTTCATGCAGTGCGAAGCGTGGCGGTAACCTGACCAGGATTTTATCATGGGTGAACCTTCTGAATCCAAGTCAACTCTCGTCAACATTCCGTCATAATTATTTGCAGTGAGCACAACTCGAGTGTAACTTCTGGAGTTGTAGATGGCCTGGTCGATGAGGTATAGGTTCGGGCCGAGTTTTTGTTGGACGGTTGCCCAATTGATTGTGAAGCTTACGTTGCCATAGAAGTTGTGCTCCGAACTCAACTGTGATGGAGCGAACCACAACACCTGACAAAAAGGAAAACGCACATTTAAATTTATGGGCCATGTCTTTTTAGAGCATTTTCTCATTTATGGAAAAAATTCACTATTGTGCTCGTCATGTCCGTCTGTCAGTCCATCCGTCTTTCTGTCCGTCCGTGACTTCACGTTCTCGTCGACGAGAAAATGCGCTCTGTCACTCACTGCAGTGAGTGACATCACTTCAATAATTCGGTTCGCCATCGTTTTGTTCTGGATGTAGCGTAGAGAAAAGTTTTATTGTAGAGCTTAAATTGAATTTGAATAATAATCTAACATAATGACTCTAAGATAATAAAGCTATCACGCATCGAGCAACTTTTATTATCGACTTGACAAGAGATGGGAATAACGTTACTAAATACATTAGCCCTGGTCCAATTTAATGAAACCTGCGGATCGAAAGACCAACCTCGGTGATTGTTATAATTATGCACTTGCACTACAGATGAATGTGAATTCATAACTAATGCTGAACCAAATTTTTTATTCCCAAAGTTCCGAAATATAACTAGAAGCACATTTTCATTAAAAAAATTTGAACCTGTTATCTCTCGTTATTTGTCAAATAAATAGTACCATTACAAAATAGTACAAAAATTATGTGTCAAATAAATAGTACCATTACAAAATTACAAAGTACCATTACCAAAATTGCCAATTGTTACACATATGCAATGCAATATATAAGACGCACGCACCTGCTGTAGGAGCCTCGTGTGGCTGTTGGAGAGCGGCTGAGGGACAAGGATTTGACAGTGGACTGCTTCTTCGAAGTCGTCGAAATGAACGCATCGACTAATTTGATCAAAATCAGCATAGCGTGGATTTTGTAGAGGATTCACAGTTGTAAAGCTTGTATATCTTCCCATTTTACAACACTTCTCTTTAACTTCACTTCTTGTTTTTTGTTTGTCTGCTACAAATCTTATAATCGATATTTAACACACTTCTACCTCTCCAATCGATCTGAAATTTTGCACACCTGCGTGAAGTCGGAGACAATGCATGAATCAATTGACAGAATAAATAATTTTGAAAAGTTACTTATTTTATATAAAATTGTTATTCCAAAACTGACAAAATAACGACTGAATTTGGCAGATCGTTAAATTATTGTTGTGGTTATCATTCTGAAAATTTGCACCACAAAAAAAAATTACGCAATATTACTCTCATATTAGTACCAATGAAATTGACACAAACGTGTGCGGGCTCAACGGGGCAGGGAAAATCGAAGTTGGTTTTCTCCCGTTTATTTCATATACTTGAGTGACGTAAGCTGAGTGACGTAAGCTGAAAATAAGATTTAATATTAGTTAATAGGTCGAGATAGACATACATGAAACTTGAACTAAGCAGGAGGTAGACTCACATTGTTTTAGACTTTAGATATTGTTTAGTACTGAACGTTATAGAATAGATGAACGTTCTTATTTGACTTCTCGATAACAAAATTACAACTGACATGACAGGAATTGTTTATGTATTCCACGCACTTGTGGAGTGAACGCAGGGATGAGTGAAGATTTGAAGAAAGAATAGATGAGGATAAGGAAAACTTAGTGCGTTGAATCTGACGAGTGACGAACGACGTCACAGAAATTCAATTAAAAAAATTAAGTAATCTAGAACTACTTCAGTTAGAATGTCGAAAACCAAACTATAACATAAAATCAGAGTAATATTAAATAATATTTATTACCTAAATTGAATTCAGCTGTAAAATGAAATATGATATACAAGTAGGATTGTTTTCTTTCTCGTTTTATTCTGTGTATTAGAAAATTTTTTTCATCAATTCACTCGCAGAACTTTAATTTTAGAACTTTAATTATCGCCAGATGGAGATTTATATTTGTTCTTTGGAGGTTTCAAATCTGCGATAAAGTTTAAAATGTTTCAAAGTGAAAATAATTGAAAATTTCATAGCCTATAATACAGACTTCCCTCTCTATCTTCCCATTCTTCCATCACTACTAAGCCTAACAAATAAGGCTTCGTAGTGATAACTAACTAAGCCTACTAAACCTAGCGGAAATACTATCCTTGTGAGACGACCGAACATATTCCTGTTGATGAAAAACTTCAACTTGGAACTTCTACAAAGGCCCCAACATAAAATCAACTTCGACCGGGATTGCAAGAACCCAGTTTATTCTAGAGTGGACCTAGATTACCCTTGCTTCTATATATGGCCTCAAAATCTTTCAAAACAGATTAAGTCACACGAATAATAATAAATATTATTTTGTTAATAATGTAGAGCAACAAGTTGAACAATAAAATTGAATCGAATCTCAATCATAGATTTTACTGAAAATTTGTCACTAACTATTTTAGTTAGAAGATAAAAAATTCTATATTTTAATTCCTCTAGTTGTATATCATATGATTTCAATTGAAATGATATTATTATCTACATCAAAAATAGTGTGTTTCCTTATTATTTATAATATTGACTAAATTATAAAAATTACTGATTAATGTTATAAGATAGTATGATAAAAATTATGAAGCATTAATATTAAAGTATAGAGTATTTAGGTATCATACATTCAATATATTATATTTATTGCATTTATAAATTTTAAATAATATATTATATTATTCATTTATGTTGCAGATGTATTTAATTGTGCCTACATTGCTTTTTCAAAACAAATTACGCATCAAGCCTGTTGATCTCAGCCCTCACAACTTCTGATATTGACATACTGTATGACTTTTCTACAAAGTTCATTATTCAATAACACCCTTCCGATATCACAGCTAATCCACAAATAAAATTTCACTTCTTAGTCGCTATATCGCACTAAAAACTATATAAATATATCGCTTAAATGTCCCACAACTGCACTTCTTTGTTGCGCTCTCACACTAGCAACGGAAACCGCATGCAGCTGCGGCGTTCTCAAGGACGCGGTGGACACGTAAGAGTTGCAGGTTTGTAACGCGTCACGAGTTACGGATGTGTGCGAGATTTTCTTATTAACGCTATCGTTATAAAATTGCATTAATAGTTATACTTATTTAAATAGTGATATTGATTTTTAAATGACAGTTTTCAAGTTTAAAATATTTTGACATTCATGCATTGAAGTGAATTGATTGATTGGGTTCGCCACCGAAAAGCATCGACGTAAAACCTAAGTAGAAGACTAGCTGATTGATCTTCAGTTTCCTAACGTCAGATAAGAATTTGTTAAAAAAACGAAAATAATAATTTAAATATTGTTAGCGTTAGATCTCATATAACAATTTGCAAACGAACTTAATTACGTAAATGATGAGTTACTGCTGGTGCACGCAACCTTGCCATTTCTTTCCATGAAGAAAACACATATCTAGACCCTGTTTTGTGGGAGACTGTTGTAAAAGTGACGAATTACGGGTCCTGGGATTCACATGATAAGTTATTCTGAGCTCAGAATTGAATTAATGAATAACATGGCTGTCCATGAATGCTCATTAATTAGAACGAGTATATAGGTAGAAATAATCTCGTACACATTTAAACTCTGGTATTTCAAGCTGATCTAACTATTAACGTTAATACTATGGTTTTCCATCGTTCATGAAAAAGAATTTTTCTTCTAAATAATATAGTTTTACATCATCATCTTGTACAATTTTTGAAAAATTTTATTGTACGTTTAACTTATAGCAGAATATTGTAACTTTTTACCGAGTTCTCATGATGAATGCTATTCTATTGACTTCTTCAACATTATTCAGTCATTATATTATGTTTTGATGCACTAACAACTTAACAAGTTAATTCTGTTAGCATTACAATTCCTGAGACTACTTAAATTCAAGTTCAGAATTATATCCTTGCCTCGGTCCTGGAAGAAGATGATATGATGAACGTTATATACTTTTTATTACGAATTAATGAGTATATACTTGCTATTATGATGTGGACAATTAATTACATGAGTCCTCCGAACGCAGAGCAACCTCAACTGCTAATCGAAACAACAAAAAAATCTTCTTTTAATCTATTTCATTTCCTGTTATCCTACAAAATGCCTAATCACTCACTCGATTATGCGAATGTGAATAAATATTCGCCATGCATTAAAACGTAGCGCTGATCGCCTTAAACGTTCATATTCCTATTGATGACCAGCCTTGGCACAAACACTGCGGTTGCGGAGCGCTATGGCAATGGGAAAGTTGAGGAAGTTCATGGAAGGTCGAAGACGGAGCTTAAATTCATATTAGGTCGTCTCACAAAGAAAGGTTTGTTAGCCTAGTGACGCGGTACACTAATGGCGGAAAATACTCACAATTAGCACAATATCAACATAATATTAAACATAGATATTCAAGTCATCATTCATTTTCGACGTGGTAGCTCTCTTAAATAAAACACCTACACTCAACATCGGATTCGTTTATCAACATATAAATGCGTCNACAGTAAATATATACGAAGTTAGCCAATTCGTTCGCATAAGGTGTATTCATACGATGACAGTAAATTTTTTCGCTAATAGTCAATAAATTTAACGACATGTAATTCAATTGTTGATAAAGAATTCACGTGCTGAATTTAAGCATATTCGACGATAATAAATTTACGTGCTGAATGCAAGTACATATAACGATAATAAATTCAAGTACTGAATGTAAGCACATTCGACGATAATAAATTCACGTACTGATTGTAAGTACATTCGACGATTATAAATTCACGTGCTGAATGTAAGCACATTCGACGATAATAAATTCACGTGTTGAATGTAAGTACATTCGAAGATCAAAAATTCATTCGCTAATATTAAATAGAAACGAAGTTAATACACCGACAGTAAATACATTCAAATGCATATATAGTTAATCTGTACGGTAGTTAATTCACGGAACGTAAGTACATAAATGTGACGTTAGTATACAACTGTGACGTTAGTATATAAATGAGACGTTAGTATATAATTGTGACGTAGTATAAAATGTGAAGTAGTATATAAATGTGACGATAGTATATAAATGTGACATTATTAAATAAATATGACGTTAGTATATCAACGAGACGTTAGTATATAAATGTGACGTTATTATATAAATGTGACGTTAGTATATCAATGAGACGTTAGCATATAAAGGTGACGTTAGAATATAAAAGTGACGTTAGAATAAAAAAGTGACGCTATATAAGTAAAAGTGACGTTTGTTTATAATAGTTTGAAATTTAAACTTATATTACTCTGAAAATGATGTTAGCGTCCGGACGAATCCTGTAGTTCGGAGGTTGATAGCTGGAGACTCGCTCTTGATAATGAGGGCCTCAGCTATCGCCAGTCTCGATGGGTCAGGGCACCGCATAACTATGCTGGTGCAGGCCTCCAATGTCGCTCGGGTGATGGTCTCATTGTGAGCCTTTCATATGATTTTAAGCTTAGATTTCAAACTGTATCCACAATGCCCTTGATTTGTACTCCTGTCATTTCTAAAAGTTCAATTTCAAGCGTTGCAAAACCCTTCACCTGCTTGATAATGAATATTGTATATTTGAAACGCCACATTCCATTAAGATGTCATTTAGTAACCTGTTTTTTGATCTCCCGGCCTCAGCAAGAAATAAATGAAGGGGTTCGACTCATGAATGAAATTGAAGGACGCATTCAGTAATGAAATTTAGATCGACAAGTACATACAAACTCTTCCCTATAGGATGCTACTCAAAAATTAAATTTTTATAGCAATAAGTACAAAATCACGTATATACATGTGACAATGTATAATAATAATAATATAATATAATAGCGGTTTCAGCGTTTATTAGACCGTAGGCCTGTCGCCGATTCTTAACATCGCAGAAAATTAACAGCTTAACTGTTACGGTCTCGAAGTCGCAACTCACTGCTCCAATTCTGCTGTGCTCAACCGCCCGGCCTCCTTGCCGATTCTGACCAGAAACTGGCGCACAGAGCTGGGATCGAACCCGCGCCTCTCTGCGCCAATCCTGGTACTCTGAACTTTAACCACTGGGCCACCCTGCCCAGTGTTCTTGAGACAATATGAGACAATGCTCGAAAATTGGTGCCCAAAAATTATGCCGAAAAAAGACATTTGATTTTCATGACATTATTTACATGACTTTAGATGACTTCATGATACTTATATGTTCAAATGGGTAAGACAGGATCGCAGTCTTCATGGGGTAAAAAATGACCAGCCCATAGGGGGTGCGTACTAATTGCGCTGAAATTAATTTGATGGAATAATATGTCAGAGAAACTATTTCTAGTCATTTCAGTGTTTTTTTCAACCCTGTATTGCGAATAATGAAGTTTTGGCAAAATTTTTAGAAAAAATTATTTAGAGAAGGGTCAGAAAATAGTTAACCTTATTTGGGAAATAAGCTCTGCCTAATAACACAATATTTTTTTACCAGGTCTGTGGATGAAGGCAGGCAACCTCAAGTTAGAAGCAACTTGTGAGCTATACATGGCATTGTATAGCTCCTGTTACCATCACTCCCTGATCTCACAACCATTCCTTTCATTCCTTTCCTGCCCCCTATACCCCCCAAATGGTCCTATCTTACCCCATTATTAAAAGTTTTCAGCAGGAGTATATATGGACCATTGGGATACAATTTTGATCTGCTGCTCAAAATAACCATTGTTTATGTTCATGTACCAGTTCTATGGAGACAGAAACAGGGCTTATAACTGCAGTGTTACTCATCAGCTTCCTTTTCACAGAGGAATAAAAGCTATACATTAACAGATGCATTTTTTGATAGTAGTAACGAATAAAATATATTTCGATATGTAATATATTAGTCATGGGTCGCAAATAAAAAGTCGATAAACCTTACAATGATGCCAAAGTTCCTGGATATAGATGAAGGGTTATCTCTACATGGAACTGCAGCTAAATACAATGTTTGATATGGTAAAATGCAAAGTCATACATCACTTGCAAGTGTCAAATTAACAGCAAAAAAGAACATGAAAATCCTGAAACTGCCACCTTCAGATGTCCTTCAACCCTTAGACATGGCATGCTTTATTTCTTTAAATTTTTATTGTGACAGAAAACTATTGGAATTCACATAATTCACTGGTGGGCGTGAACCCCTTAGCAAGGAGGGAAATGTCAATATATGCTAACCTCTGTCTGGCGGACGTGCCTATCTGAAAAAATACATTGTTGCCGGCATTCATGCTACATGAATATATCCTTCGAATAAAATGTATGACACCTCAAGGCTGGATATGATTAAATTGGAAAATTTGTCATACTTGGGAAAAGGATGAAAATAAAAATAGATGAGAATGGCCCACAAATGCAGAAGAAATTCAATTTTTAAAATTGAAAACAATGCTCCTGCAGCAGAAGTAAAGATAGAAGCATCTGCAGCTTTAGCTGTGACAACCCACAGCAAAATCATAAACTGATCAAATGACAAGGACTGTCCATGACAAGAACCTCAACGCTAGTTGCGCCCGAGATCTCAAATCGTGGGTGCAGCTTCTGGCAAACCAGTGGTCCCGATTTCAGGGGAGTTCTCAAAGGCATTAATCTTCTGAAGCATTATTCGAAGATGTGATTCAAATTAACTCCTTATGGAAAACACTTTTCAACATTTTATCATCTAAAGTTAATAAAATGAGTACTGAAAGAATAATGTAAACCACTTCTTACACTCTGGACGCAGTTCTTAAGGCCAATATAGGCAACATGCTTGTCCAGCACGAAAACATAAGATTTTTCATATGAAAGCAACATGTGACTTCTGATGAGAAGTTTCAACAGCAACAGCAAATGACATCAATGATGGAAGCCAAAAAAAGTGAAGAAGCAATACATTGTAGCTTAAAAATAACTAGTAGCAGCAAAGAGACTAATTCAGAAAGACACGAGTGTTGACACTGATACTTCATGCGAAAACATTGAAATGAACATGTTCACTAATTTGGACAACTTTGTGACTGCAAACGTAATTCAAACTGAAAACACCTATGAAAAAAATCCTTGTTGGTGATTTCGGTCCTGTCTTCCTACATCTGACTATATGTTGATTCCAATTTCATTGTTCAATGTGTTCTTTCTCTTCATTATGGATAGAGTCCCATACGTTTCTATACATTCGAAACGTACTTAAAATATTAAAAATAACCTTAGGAAACCTGATTATTAATCTACCACTGCGTACGAAAAATATAATTAGACTTATTGAGAAAGCCAATGAAACACTATCAGGAAAACTTGTGCAGCTACTGCGTGTACTTTTGCCACTACGATAATAGTTTCGACGTCCTTACGAATCCGGGGGTTTATGAATTTATAGATGGTTTGCTCTTGCCATTGCGTGCACTCAGGCGAGTTTCGATAGTGTGGGCTCAATTTCTTCCATTGCATGCTGATAGCATAGATATTTAACATTTTCAATGGGGCAAATTGTAATCAATACCGTGGCGGCCCTGGCGCTTCGATTTATTGCACATTTGCTGGTAGGACAATCGTATTTTACTACGGTCAGCGTAAATGACGGAGTCACCGTGGACTTCATTATCGGTGAGTCGATATTTAAAAGGCTTTTCGGTTAACTGGTTATATCTTAGTTTGCGATATAGTCACAAGATTCCTGACAAAATTCAAATAGATTATTTCAATTCTATAGTATCAGTACGTAATTAAATTATACCCTTTTTCATTTTGTGTAGAAGGGAAAAATTTGCTTTGCGGCACTAAGCTTTTATTGGGTTTCTTTTACAGGGCAATCTGGGCTTGAGGCCATGTACATAGCCAAATATCGATCATTCATGACGCATGACAAAAATTGCGTCTCCGCTTGAAAAAAATGGCATATTCGTATATTCTGTTAGGATAGTGCGAATAAATTCGCTATTCCAATACCAGCTGATAGTAGCGCAGAAAAATTTCTCCATTAATTAACCGTCTAACATTGAATATTAGTTTAAATGGATCGATACTCATTATCGGCCCGATAATGAGCGATACTGTGTAATCGATACTAGCGATACTGTGAGCGTTCGCTATGACACATTTTCAATCATTGATGACAAAATAATTCTTCCCCGTAGTGGGGTCAGGGTCAGCGGGTAGCCCAGTAGCGGCCCGGCTGTCAGTGAGTGTGGGTGACAAGTAGTTAGAATAGTGTTTTAATTAACGTTCTAATTGCTGTTATTCCGAGATACTAGTTTCAAGCCGGCCTGAAGCTCGGCCATCCCACCCTTGACATCAACGCTGGGTCACAGATGGGTAAGTAAGCCGTGACAAGTAGCTAAGATATTACTTTATCTCTCAAATTGATGTTACTCAACGGTGTTAGTTTCAAGCCGGCATGGAGCTCGGCCTTCCCAACCTTGACATCAATGCTGGGTCGTTCGAGATTGTAGAATATGGATTACGAATGAGTAATTAAAATTCGTGTTACGGGAGAGAAACTGATATTAAAAATTGGATCATAAACACAGAAATTATTCACAATCATAATTTTTTATGGAAATGTGGAATCTCTTTTTTTTTCTACAAATTTAAGTCATAATGAACCAGTTTATTGGAAATTCATGATTTCCTGCGTTCAAACATGCGTTCGCGTTCATCGCGTTCCATTTTCACGCTAACGGAGTAACTTAGAGCAAAGAAACCTGAAAACAGCCAATTATTTTCAGGCTTCAGCACTCCTGACGTGACCGTGAAAAATGGAAAACGACACACCGCAGCCGACGCGTTCCTGAGACCCAACCTGCAGCGCCCGAACCTGCGCCTGCAAAGCGGCTCGCAGGTCACTAAGGTAACAACATGACACGTCCCTAAGATTCAACCTTCAGCCCCCGAACCTAGGCCTGCAATCCGGTTCGCAGGTCACTTAATTAAGTGAGAGTAGACACAACGCGCTCCTATGATGGAACCCTGAGAGTCCTGTTCACAGAGAGGCGGAGATCATGATGCATATTCTAAGTAAATAAATGCTTAAACAACCATGAAGTAGAACTAACATTATATTTAAACATCAAATTTTCACCAATACGGGTACTCATATAAATTTCACCGACATGATTATATTTCGCTTCCAACAGATCATATTTGATGCTGATTTGAGGGCCACTGGAGTGGAATACAAGCAAGGCAGGCGGGTAAGTTATTCGTCCCTTAAACACTTAACCTAATTTTTTTATATTTATTGCTTATGTCTCTTGGAGCAAATGATATTTCAGTTAACTCTCTTTGAGAAATCGTTGTTTTACATTCTGAAAATTTAGTCATTGCATTTAGTAAATATTTTATCTTGTTCTTGTACGTATCTACTTTTTGCTGAGAATTTTAATGCAAAACTTCACAAGTTTTGACCCAATTAATTCCTAGTTTTTATCCCCAACTGTCCCATAAGTTGTGTCATGCGTGCAGTTGCATTTAGTATGGTGTTTTTGTATACTATTTCCCCTTGAAATTAACTTTTCAACTAGTATCAATTTCCGTTATGAGATGACGAGTTTCATGCATTGAGTACTGATGTACTCATTTTAAACATTTCAAACTAGTTTAGAGTTCCACTTCACGTATTTGACTACTGATTACTAAGTTAGATTCTCAAGTATTGTGGTGCTTATCATTTACAATCTATATGAGATGATGTTACCCTCTAGCTCAGTGGTTCCCAAATTTTTTCAGGCTGGCGCCCCCTTTGGCTCCCTAGTGAATTTCTAGCGCCCCCCACCTACATATAAAAACATACGCCTCTTTCTTGAAATTTAGTACGCTGTAATTTTAAAACATAATGGTTAAACACAAATGTGTATTTCACAAATAGAACCCCATTTAGCAAACCAATATGTATTTCAGCTGCTATAACTGTTTCAGAACTAGAAACCTAGGACGTCTCGGGCAAATTTACGGCCGGACTCGTGGCAGGTAAAAAAAACCATCGCTATGGGAGTCATGTGCTGCAAGTGTTGTGTATAAATCGTCAAACAAACGCTCAAACTTCTGACTTCGACTTCGGACTGCCGCTCCTTATCGCCCCCCTATGGCCATACCGCCCCCCAAAATCTTTCCACCGCCCCTAGGGGGGCGATATCGCCCACTTTGGGAACCACTGCTCTAGCTGATGCCGTTGTAAAAACCAGAAATAAGCTTGTATGTATATTTTGAAAATTATGAAGGGGCTACATTATCGTACGTAATCATGGATTGAGTATTGTTCTAATATATAGTTATAACAGTTTTAGAATAGATTTCTTAATTTATGTTTGTCTTCTGCTTGAACTCCATGTGTAAGGCTTTATGTTTTACCCCAAAAATGTTTTGTAGTTTGAATGTTTATATGCACTTGAGGTTCTAATAAACGGCCTGAATATGTAAATCTTTTTATTTCTTTCATAATTTGTTATACTTGTTCTTACTTCATATCTCAGAATGACTGCATTAAAATTCGCAGTATAATTTTGTTGGTGTGCGTTGTTATATAATTCCCCATGCCCTCCACAATTATTATATATAGCTCCACAAAGTTGGGATATAGGGCGTAGTGGAGGGCGTAGGGATTGGAGGGAATATAGTGCAGGGAATAGTGGAGGGAATATAGTGGAGGGCGTAGGGATTTTTTTTTGGCTCGAAATTCACGTTCGGCCACCTCTGGCTGGCGGGAATTTTGCGCAACGGTCCCGCCAATCGCGCCAACCACCTTCACGATAGCGCGGAAGCTGGCAGTGCCCGCTGGCCTGGTCGCTCGCGGTAGGACAGACTGACTGCGGCAGCAGGCCCTTTCCAGGCCGCGAATCTCTGTCACAATATTGCGCTGCTGTGGACATTCCTGCGCTCTTGACCACCCTGGCGTTGCGCTGGGGCGAGCGTTGGCGCAGGCAAGTTCACCCGCGGCTGGCTTCCAGACTGCGGCGATTTCTGACTCGGCAGAGCTTATTTTCGTGTTTGGTCGCGATTTCTTTCCTGCCTAGAACTCGTAACGATTTTTGCATTCTTACACAGAATTTCTTGATTTTTCAGCAATAAAAATTATTTTAAATCTTGCACTAAATTAAATCGTTTCACTGTTTTTCTGAGGGAATTTAACTGAACCTTATCAGATAAAACGTGCTTTCGCGCGCAAAGAAGTGGTGGTGTGCGCGGGTGCCATCGACAGCCCCAAGCTGCTCCTGCTCTCCGGCATCGGCCCCCAGCAACACCTACGCAGCCTCGACGTGAGTACATTAAGTTCAGTTTGTCTATCACGTTTGCAAGAGTTTCAACAACAATAGTAGTTAAAAAACTGAGTTAATTAACTGAGTTAGTAAACTCAGAGACTGAGTTAATTAAGTTTATCTGTGCAATTTTCATAATTAGATCAAAACTCTGGTCGACTCCCCGGGTGTCGGGCAGAACTTGCAAGATCATCCTTCATTGCTTGGGCTCTCATGGAGCACTCCTAAGGGCCGGGGCAGTTCCTTGAAGCGTGTGTTAGGACCTTCGTCACAGCTGCTTTACAAGCGCAGCAGGAAAGGTTTCTAATGAAATTTTCTACTTGGAATGTCAGCCGAGTATTTGTTTAAATAGCTGAAAAATTAATATAGGTCTTCGATAATCAAAATTGCCTACTGTATAATTTCCAGCAATGACTTAAAGATTTATATGAAGCCTGTTCGATAATTAATTGATGTCGCCTTCAAGCAGCTTTTCAAACTCGGGTAAATTTTACTGTCGTTTTTTTTTGTTGGAACATTTTCACTTTCACGTAAATTAAATGGAATGCAAATTTCAATCTTACAGTCAAAGTTCCATGCTAACGTTTATCCAGTAATGGTCAGATTTGTAGTATGTGAAAAATCTTCATCGAACATCTCAGAAATAAGAATAGTGATCGGCTCTTCAGACGATTTTGGGATCTAATCAAAGCGAAAGCAATTGCAATTGAATCATGATTCTTGAAAAATTCAGGTCCCTTGAGCGCACCGTTTGGAGTTGAAGGGAACGCGTGGATGCGACTCGATGATGGGGGAGACCCAACTGTTCCTGACATGCAATTCCTGATCGTGGCACTGCAAGCAGGAGTTGATTATGGTTTTTTGCTTTCACAAGCAATTGAATTTAAGGAAGAGGTAAAGAAATCGTCAGGCAATGAGCATCGTAACATGAACTAATTTCAATGGTTTTGTTGTGTTGATGCATAAAAGTGGAGATATCTCTTCAAATGGACACGAGTGACGCGTTTGTCTTAACGTAACCTGTAGTTGTGTATGTAGTGCTTTCTTTTCGCGATAACCTATACTAGATAAGATGAATATATTAACGTGTTTCAATAGCTATTCCTTTATTGTGACCAATGTTTATGATGGAATGGATTGAAGTAAATGAACACGTATTGCGTATTTCTCAATCTTGGCCATCGTCCTCGTACCGTCTCCTATAACCCAGTTTTACTTTCGACGTCCTTACTGTAGATTTTTATTGAGTGAGCATTTCAATATTTTCATATTGACTTCATGTCCCATGTAAACTGCACATGAATAGGGGATATCCTAATTATTACCAGTGCACGTACCTAGCACGATAGTTTTACCGATTTCATTTCGCAGGTATACCGAGAATATTTTGCGCCGTACCAGGGCCGGGAGGGTTTCGGTATCGGCCCTATGCTGACCGTGCCCAAGAGTCGCGGCTCAGTCACTCTGCGCTCCAGCGATCCCTTCGACCAGCCGCTCATAGACCCAAATTTCTTGAGTCACCCCGACGATATGGAGCTTTTCTTGAAAGGTATCTAGTAACTACTTGGAACCATATGCTGATTCAGTAGTCAACGGTTGCACGAAAAATACAATTGTAGTCACATTCACGGCAGGTGGGTATTCATGAAACTTTCTTATGCGAACTTTTATTTCCTAACATTTTTATTCATATCCTACATTTTGTTTATTATAGTCTACGTTTCGAAACGGTAAAGACTAATATGTATGTGTGTATGATAATCGCAGGTTATTGTTATAAGTGAGAATTATATTTAATAAATTGAAGGAAGAGAACTAATATTATATTTCAGGGAATTATAATCAAGTTATTTTCAGGCATCAAGTTCGCTCTGTCCATCGGCAATACAACGGCGATGCGGGACGGCATCGGCGCCACGTTTAACGACAAGGTGAATAACTCTGGTTGATTGGAGCAAATATCTCGCACGTAGAACGGAATTTAAATGTCACAAATAACTTACTAAATGTGTGCATACTAGGCTGACAATGTCACACAATTGATGCGCTTGAGTCTTACCCATAAACTGTTTTCGTTTCATTGAATATCGTTCTCATGATAGTTTTGTTATTGATCTGCACGTGTTTGATGCAAAATTTTCGTACGAATTGTGTTCCAACAGAAATTTGTTTTTGTTTTTGAGTTATAAGCTCAAATTTTTTAAATTTAAATTTATCAGAAAGCTGCTTGACTCCCGGATTAATTTTATTTGAAATTCCTACCCTCTAATGCCCTACCGTTATTAGAGGATTTAATAAAGAGATTTGCTCGCTGGGAAAATTTACGAATTTTGGTTCAGTATTTTATGCGAACGTTCGAAGAATTTTTGCAATTTTTTCATTTCCAATCAAATTCAGACTTCATGGGTTCAAAATTATCTTCGAAGATATTGTGAAATAGTGCTTGTAATATATGATAAATTATTACTGCGGCCGGATAAATTCCATAAATACAATTACACAGTGAATAAAACGAACAAATCGCCCTCTCACGTAGAAGCCTTTATTTAATGAAGTATCACTTTATTACTTGAATGATGAATTACTGATGAATATCAAATCATTACTTAATAAAATTAGATAACCCATAAAATATTATGTTTTATGAACGTTCATCTTTGTCTGAAACTTCATGTACTTGATAATCACTATTTAATACTGAACTACATTTCATTACCTGCAGCCTCTGCCGGATTGCAAGGAACATCCAGTGAGCTTATAAGAGCAGGCATACATGGGTAGCAAGGCTCTAAGTCTATTTGGCTAACACCACATAATATTTTGTTAACTCTTTTGTTTGTAAGCAACTTCATGTACTTTTTAATCACCATTTAATACTGAACTCCATATCATTACGTGCAGCCACTACCAGGCTGCCAGACTCACCCCTGGGGCTCAGACGACTACTGGCGCTGCTTCACCCGCCACATGGCCTCCACCACCTACCACCCAGCCGGCACCTGCAAGATGGCACCCCTCACTGACCCCCTCGGTGTCGTCACCTCCACGCTCAAGTCAGCTAGCTTTAATATAACTTAATCGAATCTTTCAAACAAGTGTTTAAATATATATATAATTAAAATTATTCATTTGAAACAACTGGATAAACTACAATGTAGAATTAACCCATTATTACAATGAGAGTTTGAGCCACGTAAATATTGGACAGCAGCTTGGCTGAAAATTAACAAGAAAAAGAATACTTGGATGAATGTTTCATGCTGTCGTGCTACCAGCAGGAGATTGCCTTATTGGCGAGGCTTCTAACGAAAACTAAGCGCATGGGGGCTAGAGATGGCAGTGAAACAAAGTTAAGTTTCCTAAATTTTTCTTTTCTTTATTAATCAAGTTAATTGCAACGTATATTATTGCATAGGCATATGAAGATTGGCCGGGCTGCGAGAACGGATAATGGTTCCATTCAAAGGGAATCCAGAAACCGCAAGCCTCTAATACCTCAAAATCGCTAAGGTGGTGCCAGGCAATTATGTAGTTTGAATGTAATGTAGTACTGAAATGCATAATAAAACGAAAATTATAGTTTTAAGTTTAGTTTTAGCTTAGGTTATTAATCGACCTCTATGCAAGCTTAAAGTTGACATTTAACGACAAACTTAAAACTATACTATTTTCGACAGCTTCAGTGAAATTTTGTCAAATTATTAAAATATGTTGCATGCATCATCTTGATTCGGGGTGAATTACTACGCTAGATTATTGATTCCTAAGTAATTTGATGATATTCTGGTGGAAACATGAATTCTAATTTTGTGTGAACTCAGTTGTTAAAGGGATATATGATTTATATATTGTTAAAAGCGTATTAATTTGTTCAGAGTTCGTGGAGTGAGTGGACTGCGTGTGATTGACACATCCATCATGCCTTTCATCACTTCAGGTAACATTTTAACAATTTAATAGTATGGAGAGAAATAGCCGTAATTCCCTCGCCGTAACTTGTTGCAGCGTACGAAATCCTGAACTCGTATGAATTAAACTTGCCCTTGTTCGATGAGATATGCCTATTGTCATGGCGGCGGATGACAAGCTGATACAGAATAGAAGTGTCGGCACTGAAGAAATAGGCCCATGGCCTGTTGCAGACTCTTGTACTTTTCGGGACTTGACTCACAAGAGATCCGGCATTTTTTGATTACTTTTGTTGAATTTTACAAACTACGTTCATGCCTGAACCAGCGTCGCTTCATTACAAGTATACTTAAAGGATTCCTAATATATTCACTGACGTATTTAAAAGTCGCAAACCATAATATTCTTTCTACACAAACAATTTATCACTATTTGGTAGAGCAAGGTCAACTATCAACTTTGACACATTTTTCGATGTTCTCACTGGGTGAGGCGCACTGTCTCTCTTTGCATTATGACTGATGATACTCGTATTTCAGCACGGATTTAATATTATTTTGTTATTACCTGCAGCGAACACGAACGCACCGGCCATCATGATCGGCGAACGCGGAGCGGATTTCATCAAAGAAGATCACGGTGCCCTCGTTGACAAATGACAAAGTTCTGGAAACAGTATTATTTATTTAATTGAAGATAACTTTTAGGATTTAATTATGCGCTTTCTTGGCAACATAACGTGTATCGTGTTTGAATTTAAAGTTTTATAAGTTCAGGTATAGAAAATTGTAAGTGTACTTCTCGAATATTAACGTTTACGTAATATCACGAACCAATAACAAATATATCATTTTTGTTGGAATGAAATATAATTTTTTGTGCAAAAATATATATTCGAATGCGATTCAGTGATATTCTTAGAATATATTTTCGCTTTAAATCGTATTGACTTGTATATATAATAATTGCCTACGACAAGATGCGAATTTTGTTTGAGTTTCGAACAAAAAATATTTTCTGGATGACTACGTTAATCTGTCTGAGCCCTCAAGTAAACCGGGCAATCATTTTAGTAGCGTAGTGAACGATGCGAGAATTTTGGCACGAAAATATTCAACATAAGCTGTTAATTTAATGAACCTTAGAATATTTTCATTTGATGTTGATCTGAATTGAAGTTATTTATACCAAAGTGAAATTAACTCCCGATATGTTTACGAGATTGTTTCCAAATAAAGTTACTGATGAGCAATAGTTTGTCGTGTCGTTTATATCCTTTTCCTTCTTTATGATAGCGATATTTGCACATCTAGTGTGAAATATAATAGATTTGAAAAATATTCTCGCCTCTCATTATCCAGCGGTAAACTGTGGAGTCTATTACAAAATAGTAATTAAGGAAATTAACGAAAATTAAATTTATTCCCAATGTAGTTTTAACTTAGCACTAATTAATTTACTTAGAGAATTAAAATTGTAATTTAAAATCGAAAATAGCTGGAGTTGATAATTTGACTGCGTGGCCTCGAAATAAGTACTAGAAGAATGACCATAAGCTAAGTACTTAAGAGTCTAATCGTTTTTACTTGAAAAAACCTTATATAAAACTCATGTCTAAGACATAAAATACGCCTAAATTCTGAACTCCACCAGAAAAATTCAATAATATAGCCCAGCTATTTTTTATATTTGACAAAATATTAATATTTTTGTAGATGATGTGCTTCGAGATGAACGCGCACTGGAACATGGAGATAGTAAAGCAATGGAATTAGTGCAAATGTGATATCATGAACGAGTCGCAATTTCCTGCTTGATTCATTGTAGAAACATTTTTATAATTAAATATATTCCCATTTAAGTTAATACTGTAAATTCCATTAGTCCATTAAAAGTGTTAGTCCTTAGTGTAAGTCCTTATGGTATTTATAATTGAGTAAGTCTTTGAGTATATTTTGTAGTCGAATTACACACCACGTACACAGTAAAATTTATGATCATATATATCCTTTTCCTTCTTTCTTTGTTTATTTGTTTACTACTCACGTAATTATAGCAGTTTTCACATGTGCGCTGCAGTGTCGCATATGTATGAATAACGCAACGCTGATTTATTCTAAGGCTCGTCTATAGCATTATATTGGCGAACGCCGTGACACCGTCCACAGTCCTCGCGAATACATTGGAGAAGAAGTTGAACGATTTCCAGTGAATAATGTCTGGCATTACTTTGGCTTCAGTTACTTTTGTGAAGTATCAGTGAGCAGTTGGCTGAAATGTCGAGTTACAGTGTTGAACGAAGTGCCTCGAAGAAGGGCGTGTTTTAAGGAAGAATTTTTGTAATAGCAATTTTAACGGAAGTCGTAACTCCGTGTTACATGTCTCTGATTGGTCGGCTTAGTATTGGGACTTGAAAGGAGTATTTTCGATGTAGTAAAGATTTTGATAAATAAAGTGAGATTACCGGCCAAGATTCCAGTTTCTCGTTAATCTTAAGTTTGGCAGCAGCTATGAACATTTGCGTTTCACAGTAAACATGCAGAAATGTATCTTGTAGAACGATCGTCGTAGAACTTGAAGCTGTCTTATCTTCTCACTGTGTTTCCTAATGGTATTTATTTCGAATTTTTGGCAGCGAAATTATCATATTTTCCGATGGGGCAAAGTATCCTCAATGTAGCGGTGGCGCTGGCGTTAGGTTACATCGCGAGTTTTCTGGTGGAATTATCCCCTTTTCCCACTGTCAACGAAGAAGATGCAGTCACCGTCGATTTCATTGTCGGTGAGTGAATATTCAGCTGAAGGAATATTCAATCGCATTGCTCAGTCCTAAGACTTTCGATTATATTTCTGGAACAAGCTGCGGTAAATAACATCAGTCATATCAATAGCCAAATGGTCGTAATGGCCTTGCCAGCTGGGTATATTTTTTAACATCAATGAAGCAGTCCTATAAAATTCTCGACGCAGAAGTCTAGATTTAATCGTTCAGCCAAGTTCGGCATGCTACCCATAATATCATCGACATTTGAGCTGCCTGCCCATTTGTCTGGCTGAATCACACATGACTGAGGGATTTCTCAGTCCAGATTATTTGCCTCAGTATTTTCTTAGCTTTTTCATTCATGAATTATTAACCATATTAAATGCTGTGCATTACCCAGCAAAAATTTTTCGATCTTGAAAAATTGAACTATCACTCCTCTTAGTGGGGTCAGGGTCAGCGGGTAGCCCAGTAGCGGCGCGGCTGTCGGAGGTGAAGGAGTGGCAGGTGCTGGTGCTGGAGGCCGGGGGGCAGCCCTCCCCAGAGAGTGCGGTGCCTGGCATGAGCCTCTTCGCCCTTCCCGAGGGCAGCGCCATGAGCTACAACTACAGAACCACGCCGCAGAAGCACGCGCAGTTCAGCTACACCAACAACGTGAGTGCAAAGATGAGATCTAAAGCAACACGCGTAGGGCGATTGTGCGGTTTAACAGGTACCGAACAAAAATTTTTCCGCTGACTTTCTTTTTCCACTACCACGCTATTATTTTTACAAAAAATTTTCTGCTACCTCGCTTGCTTACTTTCTGTTGTTTGTAAGGAGAATCACGTCACGTCGAGACGCAGTAATTTTCCAAAAAAAAAAAAAAAATTCCTTCGGCACCTGCTCTCCTACAGGAATGCCCACGCCTGTTCTTTAAGAACTAAACACGTGAGCAGATGTGGGAAGGACTTCTGGCAAACGAAGAAACAGAACTTGATTAAACATAATAAGCATTTTATTTGGGCGAACAATATAATTTTGCTTGCTAACTCATTTTTTGAACTGTGAATAGAAATTTTATTTTTTCTAAATAGCAGTGAGCCACGATAGATTTACAATTACTTCATTGTAATATTATTCATGGCTACAGGCAAACCTGTACCCCCGCGGCAAGGCCATTGGAGGATCGTCCGCCATAAATTACATGATGTACAACCGCGGCAACAAGTTCGACTTCGACCGCTGGGCGGCCCTCGGCAACCCGGGTTGGGACTACCAAACTGTACTCAAATACTTCAAAAAATCCGAGGACTACGGAGGCCGGCTGACTCAAGAAAACAGTGAGGACGGTTGAAATTAAACCCAAAAATTAATAATGCTATATTTTCCTTATGGTCGATGATATTTCTACTTATTAGGCTACTGATAACCAGCAATCACGCTGATGCTCGATGATTAATGACCTACAGGACCGTACCACGGCACAGGGGGACCTCTACGGGTGGAGAACAAACGCTGGGGATCGGCGGTGATGAACGCCTTTTTGGCCGCTGGACTCGAGCTTGGCCATCCCACCCTTGACATCAACGCTGGGTCACAGATGGGTGAGTGTGCCGTGACAAGTAGTTAGAATGGTACTTAAAGTTGAAATTTACGTTATTCATAGATGCTATAGTTTTAAGCCGGCCTGGAACTCAGTTATAATACTACTATCCCACATATGGGTGAGTATTCATTTGTATATTTCATTTCAAGCTTCGAGAAATGGAGGTTGACTGTATTTTAGTGGGCCAATAAAATCAAGATATTGTGACTTGGTTGGGTTTACTACTAGTCAATGGGATTTACGGGAGACTTGTCGTCACATTAGACATTTGAAACACTAAGACTATTAAGGAATGAAAATTCGGACGATTTAAAAAGGTTTTGTTTTTCAAACGCATTGATGTTTGATGTTAATTCAATGATTTGATTCAGGGAAAATAAGCATCCGTTTTATTATGCTATAGAAATTGTGTGGTCCGTGTAAAGAAAACGTTGTTAATAATACTGTACATATCAGGCATTTATTAGAATTTATGCCTCAGTTTCTTAATTATGAATTACCAATTGCTGGTTAGGATTAATTTTTTTCAAATGTATTTTTGTCAAATGCTAAGGGCACTTAATGGTTAATTGGAAAACTCCTGTTAGCAGATTAGTCTCCTTTCATTAGTATTTAAATAATCAAATGTAAATAAGCAATCAAACCGTGATTGCGTGAACAGGTTTCAATACCCCTGATGTGACCGTGAAAAACGGAACACGACACACCGCAGCCGACGCGTTCCTGAGACCCAACCTGCAGCGCCCGAACTTGCGCCTGCAGAGCGGCTCGCAGGTCACTAAGGTGAGACACGACGCATTCCTACAACTACACAGTCACGCCCGGACAAAAAACAAATGCGGCCCCGATGGTGACGCACTTCATACAATTCGAGGGTGGATTAATTTACATCTCCCTTCTTATTTAGAGAGGTAAATGGACAGGTACGTACTTATGTTAATTTTGAAGAAGATAACTGGACAGTCAACAAACTTTGAGATAGGGACCGTCAGGATTGGTACTTATCGCTTTGAAACAAGGGAGTGACTGAACTGAATCCTATCATGTTACCCCAGCCTATACATGAAATGCATCGTTTTTCGTTGCGGGACCGGGGCGTCTCAATGCCTTGACGATAGAGCTTGGAATGAAACATCTCTGTTCCTCTGTCTCCGCCTACTTTCTATCAGCTAGAACAAAGCAACAGTAATTTGCATCAATTTGCTCAAATGAGGAAAGATGTGCGTTTGTCGCGTCTTACTGGGAGATGCGCGTTAGTCACGACCAACTGGGAGATGCGCGTTAGTCATGCTTACTGGGAGATGCGCGTTAGTCGTGTTAAACTGGGAGATGCGAGTTAGTCGTGTAAACTGGGAGATGCGTGTTAGTCGTGTCTTACTGGGAGATGCGAGTTAGTCGTGTTAAACTGGGAAATGCGAGTTAGTCGCGTTTTCCTGGGAGATGCGAGTTATTCGCGTTCTACTGGGAACTGCGAGTTATTCGCGTTCTACTGGGAACTGCGAGTTATTCGCGTTCTACTGGGAACTGCGAGTTAGTCGCGTTCTACTGGGAACTGCGAGTTAGTCGCGTTCTACTGGGAACTGCGAGTTAGTCGCTCTCTACTGGGAACTGCGAGTTAGTCGAGTCTTACTGGGAAATGCGCGTTAGTCACGACCAACTGGGAAATGAGCGTTAGTCATGTTCACTGGGAGATGCGAGTTAGTCGCGTTTTACTGGGAGATGCGTGTTAGTCATGTTTACTGGAAGATGCGAGTTAGTCGCATTTTACTGGAAGATGCGCGTTATAGTCGCGTCTTGCTGGGAGATGCGCGTTAGTCGCGTCTTGCTGGGAGATGCGTGTTAGTCGCGTCTTACTGGGAGATGCGCGTTAGTCACGACCAACTGGGAGATGCGCGTTAGTCATGCTTACTGGGAGATGCGCGTTAGTCGTGTTAAACTGGGAGATGCGAGTTAGTCGTGTAAACTGGGAGATGCGTGTTAGTCGTGTCTTACTGGGAGATGCGAGTTAGTCGTGTTAAACTGGGAAACGCGTTAGTCGCGTCTTGCTGGGAGATGCGCGTTAGTCGCCTCTTGCTGGGAGATGCGCGTTAGTCGTGTCTTGCTGGGAGATGCGCGTTAGTCGCGTCTTGCTGGGAGATGCGCGTTAGTCACTTCCTACCTGATGCCTGGGGATTGCATTAGTGTGGCATTGGACGCAGTAGAATACCCAAAATTCGGTCATGATTTGAAGAAATTAAAAAAAAATTGAACATTGGATGTGTGGAACTCTTTAAAAACTCCTTTCTCATCTGACAAATTTTCTTCACACCTTGATTTACATTTCGTGTTTTCATAATTTCTACAGATCCTATTTGATGAAAACTTGCGAGCAACTGGAGTGGAATACTGGCAAGGCAGGAAGGTAAGTAAGCTTGCCTATTTAGTCCTTTAAAATCACTTTTCTTTATAAATATGACTTATGGTCCTGAATATGCATTGTGTCCCTGAATATGCTTTAAAGTCTTGTCACATTTCTCGCCAAACCAGGATTTTGGGGTCACTTTTCTGAGGGCATGATTTTGTCGGCGTAGACACGACAACTCACACCCTTTAAGCAATCAATATGTGAAAGTTATTAACAGTATCAATAAAATTTCCGCTTATTTATGCGCTCTCAGCTAATTTCCTGACGATGGATTGGAAGAGGCGCTCTCGATCAGGGATACTTACTTATTGATCGCTGTCTCAAGTTGCGTTTTTTTAACTCTATATTAACGCTATCACAAAAAAATTTTCAGGAACTATATTTTTAAAATTGCACTAGGTTTTATATCACGGACTGGGTTCGATGATTGTGCATCATAACTTTGAACGAAAATTAATTCCCTCACCAGACCAAGCGTGTTTACGCGCGCAAAGAAGTGGTGGTGTGCGCGGGTGCCATCGACAGCCCCAAGCTGCTCCTGCTCTCCGGCATCGGCCCCCAGCCACACCTACGCAGTCTCGGCGTGAGTACAATATTTAGTTTAGTTAGCCTTGAGATTAGCAGGAGTTTTAAATTTAATTATTTAAATAATCAGCGTAGATGCCTGTATCTTAATCCCTCTTCTGTGCGTTATACTTAATGTTGAATAGTTTAATTACACGAAAATGTAAAGGTGATATTATAGAAAGAATGCGGATTGGGACGAAAAGCACACTGATGCGAATCGTGGTGGTTACAAGCGCACTAATAATTGCGGATTATGGCCTAAAGGACCGTAATAAGGTAAACTGCAAAATTGGTAAAAATAAATTACTACCGAAATACCATGCGATCGAAATAACACAAATAACAGGGAAATACGGATTTGAAAAGAGTTCTGCAAGATCCATTAAAATGACTTATGTCAAATAAAGAATGAACCTCCAAAACAACACTTGAACTGTAAAACTTGAGCTTCACTGATTTGGCTATCATGATGAAATTTTTGCTTGAGCATAAGAATAAAAGACGCAATGGCGATAATTTCTCAATTACAAATTACACGAGTGATTATGATGCTACCACGGCATAAGGCACGAGTGATTATAACTATTCTACCTTCTTTGAAATAATGTCACTATTGCTACTGAGATATGATTTCAATCCATAATAGTAAAATGCAATGACAGTATACATTACACAAAGTTTTTGAACAGATCGAAACAATTGTGGACTTACCGGGAGTTGGACAAAATTTTCAAGATCATCCATCGGTGATGGGCATCTCGTGGAGCGTCGCTGAGGGCAAGGCCAGCTCATACCAGCGGGTGCTGACGCCTGGGTCCCTGCTGCTCTACAAGCGCCACAGGAAAGGTGGGTCATGGAATGAGTTTTTTATTTCTGTGTTTATCCAAACGAAAATGATATTAATAGTAAATATTTAATATGAGGTTTAGTAAATAACGATAAAATAATTTAAGTTTAAACTGATTTTTGTTTTATTTTATCAAATTAAAGGTAATACATTTGTAATGTAATTTCAAATATAAAACAGTAGTTTCACTGAATATTAAAATGGATTAATTTCTAATGCTGTTTCACGATGATTATAAGTGCATGATTTATGATAAATTTTATTTCAAAACCATTTTCGATAAATATCATTTGAGCAAGCAAAAAATGTTGTGTAAAAAATACATGATTAACTGCATTAAACAACTCATTCGATCATTTATAGTTTGAACAAATTCCTACCTGATTTCTTTGGTAATATTTTTATTTCATGCAACATCTACATTTAATTTTACTGACGCCTTTGTTTTTAATTCTACTAACGCCCCTGTGAATTAATTGACATTGACAGATTAATTAGTAAAATATTGTTGCATAATATGCAATTAAAAAGTTCTGTTACCACTAGTTTCGAAAATATTTCTAAAGATTTATGTACATTTAACAATTGCGTTTTGACACTCAGGTCCCTTGAGCGCACCGTTTGGAGTTGAAGGGAACGCGTGGATGCGACTGCAGGAGAGGGGAGACCCAACTGTTCCTGACACGCAATTCCTGATCGTGGCACTGCAAGTCGGAATTGATTATGGTTTATTGATCTCACCATCAATCGGCTTCAAGGACGAGGTAATTAAAGTTTCTAAAGTGACCAATGAAATGCTTGACTCTGTGCTAACCATGACGAACTGAAGAAGAACATTTGCTCGCCTATCACGCAGTTAGTGACATGATTGTAAATCAAACGATATTTTAGATTAGGACAAAACAATATTGCAATCATGCCGCGGAGAAAGAATATATTTATTATGTTCGCTTGGTGTATTTGAATCATGTTCTAGAGCACATTTAGACTTGAGTTGACATGAACAGAGATTTTTACTCCTTGCGTAACGTGCAAAAATGAAAAAGCAATTCGCTTGAAAATCGGCGAAAATGACCCCAAATTTATTTCAATTTATGTGTAAATTAAAATTGGTATAAAATTTCTTCTTCAATTACTCGTCGAATATTGCATAAAACTTTTACGTGAGTAATATTTTGAAAAATTGTATATTCGACTTTATTTCCCAGAGCATCTTCTAACCAAAATTCTTAACATGACGTTATCACTGTAGATTTTCTATGAATTGGTAATTAAAATTGTGGAAATAAACTTCATATTCATACAAAACATGAAATATATATTTTTATTTTTGAACATGGTTTGCAATATCATTGCACGCACTTTCTGTTGCAGGTATACCGAGAATTTTTCGAGCCGTACCAGGGCCGGGAGGGCTTCAATATCGGCCCTATGCTGACCGTGCCCAAGAGTCGCGGCTCAGTCACTCTGCGCTCCAGCGACCCCTTCGACCCGCCGCTCATAGACCCAAATTTCTTGAGTCACCCCGACGATGTGGAGCTTTTCTTGAAAGGTTCTTACTTAAATAGTGTTTCGTTTTTGAAGAAATGAGTGTTCGAAATACGTGTTCAAAATAAGTGTTCCAATGTTTCTGTGAAATTTATCGTCGGCAATCGGTTACTGATGCCATCACAACTTTTTTCTTTCTTTTCGGTTGAGATACTGATGCTTATGACTAATGAGAATGAATTTTGTATGATTTAACTTAATTCCAATTGATCTATTGCGCGTGAATATCTTTATTTATAGCAATGCAGGAAGAAATATATGTACGTATGACTACCAGTTGTGATCGAACTTCCAGGATTCGTCTATCTAACTGGTTTGCTTNGCCAATTGATCTATTGCGCGTGAATATCTTTATTTATAGCAATGCAGGAAGAAATATATGTACGTATGACTACCAGTTGTGATCGAACTTCCAGGATTCGTCTATCTAACTGGTTTGCTTTATATATCGTGGAATAACGAACGCTTTTCAACTACTGAAGAATTAAAACTAACATCCATTTAAATTCCTTGCAGTGATTAAGGCCGTTGCGACTTCTTTTGACCAACTTATTTTCTTTCCATTGAACAATTACTGCCATGGGATTTTATTATTTTACTTTTTTAAGGTGTCCATCATTTTCATTCAAGTATCCTGATTTATAATCATTATATTTCCAGCCATCAAGTTCGCGCTGGCGATTGGCAACACAACAGCGATGCGTGACGGTATTGGCGCCACGTTTAACGACAAGGTAATTACAATTACGTCATATCGGACATCTACATATTTTGCAGAAATTCACAATTTAACTATCAAGTATAGTTAATGAAAATATTACTAATTATAATCATTTGTGATATAAATAATAATGATGATAATATTAAGACGCAAATTCATCCACGTACATATATTGTTTCTCTTAATGCATTTTATTCGGTGTCAACAAACTATCAGTACGAAATTTTATCATCAACGAATCAAGCAAAAGCGCCGTAAACGATAATAATGCAACACTCCTTAATACTTATCACCTACATATATCGCTGTCGAATTTTTCAGCAAGTGACCGGCAAATCTCACTAACAAATAATTAGTTTAATTTCTATTGAATAATAATTGTCAGCGCTTCATGATTAATTTTAATTTAATATTGTACACATGCTGAAATCGCACAATATTGCTTCATGAACCAGAATTATATTTTCATGGTCTCATTAGAATGAGATTGTGATCTCTACGCTATATCTCATACTCTCGACCTACAAATTGGTAGCAAATATTGAAATGAATCTGATGAATTTAAACTTATTGTAAAGCTTTACCAGGCTTTTATAGTGCTGTACATTTGAGCTTTATTATAAACTAAAAACCTATGAATTTTTGGATTGTATTAACCACGTCGAGAATTTTTACTCTATATTAAAATTGAAGTAGTGAGAAAAATAAAAAACCTTAAACAAAAAAGACCTTTAATGCCCAAACAAACGTTTTTTCATTAAGGATTTCACGGCTTTTTACTTGTTGCTGACATCATAAATAATGTTAAAAATTTCTCAGGATTGTTTACTTCAAGCGATATTATCATTACCTGCAGCCACTGCTCTGTCATTACCTGCAGCCACTGCTCTGTCATTACCTGCAGCCCCTGCTCTGTCATTACCTGCAGCCACTGCAAGTCTGCAGGCAGCAACCAAACTCTGGATTTATTTCCTTCTCTAACATAATTTTTTATTGAATGCTTTTGTCTGTCAGCAACTTCTTATACTTTATTGTAACTATTTAATACTGAACTCCATATCATTACCTGCAGCCTCTGCCGGATTGCAAGGAGCATCCCGTGACCTTATATGAGCAGGCATATATAGGAAGCAAGGCTCTGTATCTGTTTGGCTAGTAATATTTAGTTGACTAGTAACCATCACATAATATTTAGTTAACTCTTTTGTTTGTAAGTAACTTCATGTACTTTTTAATCACCATTTAATACTGAACTCCATATCATTACGTGCAGCCACTACCAGGCTGCCAGACTCACCCCTGGGGCTCAGACGACTACTGGCGCTGCTTCACCCGCCACATGGCCTCCACCACCTACCACCCAGCCGGCACCTGCAAGATGGCACCCCTCACTGACCCCCTCGGTGTCGTCACCTCCACGCTCAAGTCAGCCAGCTTTAATATAATGTTTCCATGCCCATACAATTTAAGACCCTTGAACCCATTCAATATCAGATCCTATAAGGCCCAATTAATAGATCTCGCAGCTCATTTAATAAAAAGTCCTTAGCCTATTTAAATTTATGTTAATCAGAATATTTTATTAAGAATCATCTAGCATATATATTCACTTTCAGGTCCTCTATCCCGATTAGCATGATAATTAAGTCCATTTAATATTTGATCCACTAGCCGATTTGATTAAAAATAGTCGAGCCCGGTCAACTGGTATTTGAAAATATATGTTCTATCTGATGGACGTTTAAAAATTTTCAACTCCATTCAACTGATTTATTTTTTCATTCTGAATCTTGCTTCAATGTATTACAATAGGAGCTCAAGTAATGAATTAATTATATAAAGGAAGCGAAATTTTGACAATCGAGTGTCTGTGAAGGTGTTGGGCTGCTGAGCTGCCACTGTCAGTAGACTTGAGTATTTTGAGATTATAAAATTCTAGTGTACATTATGCATAATTCAAGAGATTAATTGTGTAATCCATGAGTTAATTATCCCATTTATGAGAAAATTATCCGGAAAATATTAATGTGAACTGAATTAATCTAATTCTTTAATCGAAAGATATAACGAAAGTATTTTGTCACGACCAGAGTTCGTGGAGTGACGGGACTGCGGGTGATAGACGCGTCGATCATGCCGTTCGTCACGTCGGGTGAGTTATTTAATTATCATGTCATGAAAATAAACCGATTTTACTACTTAATTTGATTTTTAATTAGTAAATAATTGACTCGTAGGTTTCTATTGAGGTTGCTTAAACTCGTAGTTCACAAGGTCTTAGCCTCACAAGAACCCGAGTCATTGTTGAGCTCTTTGGACGATTGGACGAGTTTCTTCTGACACGTATTTAGAAATAGAATAAACTATTGAGTTATGGATGCAATGCTATTAAACTATAAATTATTTTGTTATGAATGCAATGCTATTAAACTATAAACTATTGTGTTATGTATGCAATGCTATTAAACTATAAACTATTGTGTTATGAATGCATTGCTATTAAACTATAAACTATTGTGTTATGAATGCATTGCTATTAAACTATAAACTATTGTGTTATGAATGCAATGCTATTAAACTATAAANCCAGAAAATCAATATCTAATGTAGTCTTTGCTATCTTTCGAAGATGATCACAGTATTTTCTGAAACAGTGGCCACCATCCTCGCCATATTTTGCTATATTGTATTCTGTATATAATGCCATTGAACTATAAACTATTGTATTATGTATAAAATGCCATTGAACTATAAACTATTGTGTTATGTATACAGTGCGACATTTTGTGTTTCACCAGCAGTGTGTCACCCTCATCTTTTGAAAATCGTATTTCACATGCGCATACAATGATCCTAGATAAATCCCCTGATGTATTTTATAGTTTCTTGTCTTGTCCATAAATACCAGAATGTTTATTATTAATTTTCGTATTGTCCATAAATTCCAGAATGGTTTTTATTAATGATAGTCGTGTCGATAAATACCGGCTGGTTTTTATTAATGTTAGTCTTGTCGATAAATACCGGATGGTTTTGTTAACATTGGTGTCTTGTCGTAAAAAAACGGTTTTTTTTTTTATTAACGTTAGTCTTGTTGATAAATACCGGCTGGTTATTATTAATGTTAGTCTTGTCGATAAATACCTGCTGATTTTTATTAACGTTTATTTTACCTGCAGCGAACACGAACGCCCCGACGATCATGATCGGTGAACGTGGCGCGGATTTCATCAAAGAAGATCATGGTGTCTCCATCAATTAATAACATCAAGCCATGTTGAAATATTTAGCTTGCTTGGGTTTAGAAATAAGAGGTTGTTTAGGGTATCGATTTTCTCGCTAAATTTTAAGCAGTTCAAGTGTTTATTTTTATTTTAAACTTCTATGAAAGTATTTATGAATGAATACGAAAGTGTTGTGTCTGATTTCAAGGCGAAAATTTTGCCTAGTTTCCGAATGAAAATACTATTGGCTGTCGAAAAAAACGTTTTGAATTATTCGCTCAAGTTTTTTAATCCTATTTTAAAGTTCCAGAATGATGATCTATTTTCATCTTAGAACTGACAAACCGCAACAACTATTGCTATACTACCAAATCATTTAGATAATATTTCGTTAATTTAGCTTCTTTTGATTTGTTTAAGTTAAGTTTGGCTAATGAGCCTTGAGGAAGGAATAACACTGGCGAAGGTCAACATAATCTACAGCCGGCAACCTTCAATGGTTACCGAGCCTTCAGGTAAAAACAGCCTCGTCGAGACTTGATATTGAAAGCCTTGACGAGATGGAGATTAATTAACTCTGGGTTCCCGTTAGTGGTTGAAAAATCCTAAGAAATTTGCTAATTAATAGGCTCGGTGGCTATCTGATATGCTAGTTCAGTGACAACGTCAAATGGATTTGAAATCAAAACGGGAAATTCTGACTCCATACTAGATAATTTTGTGGCATTATTCGGAATTGTCTAATCTATCGATTGATCCTCGTCAAAATTAAATTCGCGAGGAAATTCGATGAAAATAGTACCGTGCCGACCTGTACTGAATGAGCTAGAATTCACTTGACACATTTTCTAATCAAATAATTAAAACTGTAAATATCTAAGGAATATGGTGCTAGATTTGAGTGAAAAGATTTCAAAGCGAGCTTAAAAGCAATTCACGTTGGAGAATGACCATAAAAGAAGTTGAAAAGGATTTGGTAATAGATATAAAAAACTGTAGCTCAGTAGATACTTATTCAGCTTTTATTCAAATGAAATTAACGGATCAAATTTGCAGTGAACTTTGTTTTTTGCTACTAGTTGAACGGTGTGGACAAGGTTTTGGGTCTTGGTTTCGTCTTCAATATAAAGAACTAGAGGCAGCTGCAGAATAGTCTGCGTATACGTGAATCGCACGTAAGCTACGCCCCGTCGCCCCTACTTGTTCAGAAGTAAATAAAAAAATGCGCTTGAATTGCTGCTCTGCCCACCAATCTATAGGAGTGTTTGGAGGTAAACCACTTTTTTGTCTGGAAATCATTCATTTGTTTGATGAAATTTGTCGTACTTTTAATACACGTGGTAAACGACCGCCATTTAAGACTTACGAAGATTCTCAAAGGTTTCTGAAATTGACCAGATGGTTTTAAAAATGATTTTTTCCTGCTTAATTTGCTGGCGTCAATACGTAGTTTGATAAATCGTTCCCAATAAACGCCGATCGGAATACTTTCTTATAATTTTAGTTAAAGTGAGTTTTTAAAAATACATTTTCACTTCTCTGCATTGAATACTTACATGCGAAAAAAAACTAGATTTCCCGGATTTCCGTTTCTTTTTAATTCTAATGAATAAAAAACAGAAACTGATGCATTGTGTATATTATTCACACATCATTCAATGCTTTAAAAAATCGCTGCCCAAATTAAGCTGGAATGTTCCTTTATAACTGGACAGATCCAACGTCCTCCAACAGCGCTAAATTTCCCATTCTGCCTATCTCCTCGCAATAAAACAGAGTATTTATGGAGCTAATTGTCATTATAGACTCAACCATCTGACTTGACAAGAGATAGCAATCCAACTCAGTCCATTATTATACATAGATAAGTGCGAAAAAGTGTCGAAATGAATTGAAATCCCAAGGTCTTGATTGATTAACAATGATTGATTAACAATCGAAAGTGACATATTACTTTTTTTATTTATTTGTTTATTTATTCTGTCGGTTACCGCATTGGAATTTGATTCATTTTGAACATGTATAGAATAATAAGGTCAAAGGACTGATTCTGCAACTATATAACGAAGAGCCTCTGTCTGTATTTCTGATTTTCGGTCTTTTAGAACAGGTTTTTAAAAGCTGCTAGCTTGCTTCTTGCAGGAGAGGCAAAAACATTTATGAATCACATAAGGCATATATTTTTGTGTAAGATAATAAACTTTACAAATTTTGGGATTTTCCTCTGTCTGGACTCCGATTAATTATTTTATTGTACGATTCTAGACTGACACAATTTTCAGATTCGTCATTTTGCACGTGCACGTATATTGCTGATGCTGGGAAGTTAAAATATACCTGATGCTAAAATCAATCGCCTTATAATATTATTGTCTATATAATAAGTCTATTGTAATTAATAAGCTCATACACATTTATATTGGATAACTGTCATAAAAGATTAACTTCTATTCATTGAAATCGTCGTTCAACATTCTTGTTTGACACATGTCACAAAACATTTTCATTCGATTCACATCACAAAATTTCTTGTTTGATACACGTCACTAAACATTCTTGTATGATACACGTCACAAAACATTCATGATCGAAACACGTCACAAAGCATTCTTGTTCGATACACGTCACAAAATGTTCCTGAATGATACACGTCAAAAAACTTTCATGATTGATACCCATCACAAAACATTCTTGTTTGATAAACGTCACAAAACATTCATTATTGACACACGTCACAAAACTTTCATGATTGATGCCCGTCACAAAACATTCTTGTTCGATACACGTCACAAAACATTCTTGTTTGAAACACGTATCAAAACATTCTTGTTCGATACACGTCACAAAACATTCTTGTTGACACACGTCACAAAACATTCATGTTTGATACACGTCACAAAACATTCTTGTGTGATACACGTCACGAAACATTCTTAATGGCCACACGTCACAAAACATTCTTGTTTGACACACGTCACAAAACATTCATGATTGATACACGTCACAAAACATTCTTGCATGATACACGTCACAAAACATTCATGATTGATGCACGTCACAAAACATTGTGACAAAACATGGCCCAAAAGGCCCAAACAGTAACATAAGCTAAGTTAAGCTACATAAATGGAGCATCTGTTAGAGGACTTGTGGTATTTTTCAAACACATATTTTTACTTGTAGCAAAAACTTGCTGGCCATACATTGAAGGCCATACCTACATTGTAGGCTCGCCCTTGATATTCCCACGGATATTAAAATAAAAAGTGTTCATTGGTAATAAACAGAAATTAAATCGTGAAATCGTTCTTCAACAGCGCTTATGCAACAACTGAACGCTCTGTTTGGGAAATATTTGACTATAAAAAACATAGTAGTTTGAGAGGGTAGTTTTTTCGGAACTGTAACCTTGTCTGTGATGATGACGATGAACTGCCTTAGTTGACCAGCAAAAAATTCAATGCATTTAATAGGCGAAATTCGAATTTAGAACATCGCAGTCTAAGTGCTCACTTGACAAGCAATATTCATTAGGTTAGTTGGGTTTGTGGAGTGCAGAGTTTGGGGACATTGAGAGGTGTGCAGAGCTGGGAGACATTGAGAGGTGTGCAGAGCTGGGAGACATTAAGAGGTGTGCAGAGCTGGGGGACATTGCAATGTATTTTAAGTTATAAAACTACGTAAATGGTTATCTTTGGGCGTTAATTGCGTTTAATCAACGAAAAACAGAAACAACGATGACGTGCGTTTGACCACAATGAAAACCTAACCATTCACTACCATGATGACGGTAGTGTTCTTGTAGGAAGAGGGTGAAAACCTAACCATGCATTCACTACCATGATGACGGTAGTGTTCTTGTTGCAAGAGGGTGAAAACCTAACCATTCACTACCATGATGACATAGTGTTCTTGTAGCAAGAGGGTGAAAACCTAACCATTCACTACCATGGTGACGGTAGTGTTCTTGTAGCAAGAGGCGCAATCTCAACAAATGCCTTGCCATGCGGCCTTCAGCCTCGCCACTGCAGGCAAGTACAGTTAAATTATCCGTCTGCATTAAGGATAAATAATATTTCGTTCTGTATTTATAATAAATAATATTTTCCGTCAAGAGTAGAAAAAGTAACTTCCAGATCTGTCTTTGGACCAATTTAAATTTTCTAATTCTTCTTCGCACTCGTTTCTTGTATTGAGTAACATGTGGCTCTCGTCATGCCATTTCACAGCTGCCTCGTGTGTGTTCGTGGTATTGTTGCGGGAGAGCTATCAACATATACAGGCTATCGCAGTCTATTTCAGACTCAATAGTGAGGAAACTTAAACATTAGGTAAAGTAACGAAAGGAATTTCTAAAACTGGTTCTTGAAGTTTTATTACGCGAGTTCCCACTCTTACGTGGTTATAAAAAGCCAGTGAAACTAAAATAAACCTAAATATACAAGCGAACCCATATAAACTGTTTCACACGCACACTTTAGGCATCCGAAACCATAGGCAGCGTAAAGGGAGACTCTCAGTCCATAGCCTTATCCGCCACTCAAAACCGGAAACACCAACTCTGACGACGACAGAACGGGACAACCACTCTGCTACGCGGTCCGGTTACAAAAGAAAAACCCGTACTAAATCCGACCCAGTCCGCAAGTAATCAGCGGATCAATGGTTTACACAAATGCCTGCGGAACTGCGCAGCTACAGTATGTAGAGACATAAGTAAATAATCCAAGTCCATGCATTGAATTAATTCACTGAAATTAATGTGTTGAGTTTCATTTATTCAACTCGAGTAAACAAGTTGAGTATTGCAAGCTCATCACAAAAAAATTTGTTGCACATTGTTATTTTTATCGCGGTATCCTAAGAAAATAGAGTGGGGATTAATTAAGCGCTCTAGTCAATATAGAATTGGGAAATTATTCTCCATCTGAGAATATTTTTCCGATTTTACAAATTTTACGACGGGTTAAAAGTACCCGTTTTTATAAGTCTATCATTCGACAAAAAAATCAAAGAAGTCTTCTAGACCAAAAATAGAATGAATTTACTATGCAGATGCAGTCGATATTGCAACGCATGCGAGCAACTGGTTTGCCGATAACAATTGCGTAATGGTTTACGTATGTCCATCGAAACCAGAAAATCTTAAAATTCGCACTGGACTTCCCGAAATTCTCCACAAGTAGTACAAGGAAGAAATTTCGCATGAGCTGGTGCCTGGGAACCCCGCGCATTTTGCTGGACCAGGAAACTTATTCGTACGATGGATGCCTGACATGGAACTCTGTCAATAGGATCTCTAACAGCTTGGAACTCTGTCAATAGGATCTCTAACAGCTTGGAACTCTGTCAATAGGATCTCTAACAGCTTGAATGGAGCTCTGTCAATGAAGTCTCTAGCACCTCGGAGTTGCCAATAGAATCTCTAACAGCCTGTTTCTCTGTCACTTGGATCTTTATGAAAATTAATGAACTAAGAATATTCTCGAGTTAATATTAAGCAAAAGATGAACATTAATAAATAAATTCATGAATATTAATAAATACTTTATGTTCTGTAATAAATAACTTCGGAATAAATATTAATACACACGAATTAATTATTGCGCACCATTCCAATTAAATTTTGCTTCCGTTTAGCTTTATGTATTTTTAAATCAGAGGTAAAAATTCTTTACTAAATTTAAGATATAACGGATTTATATAGTTTTTTAATGATTACTGTTATAATTGCAATTATTTAAATGATAATTTGAAATAATGTTCACCTGTTTTAAAAATTAAATCATACAATATTTAGAGGTGGACAAGCTATCGTCGTATCTATTGTTTATTTTAAGTATTATAATAATGTCCTAGCTATTAATTGTAGCTGCCCTGTTGCTAGGCAGAGACTTTCAAGTCCCAGCTTTCACATATATTTTATATGTGCTGAAATGTTATTACAAGATATATGGAAGACGAATTTGATAAATTTCATCAGAAATTATCATCTTAAAACATAAATAAGTAAGAATCCACGTACTTCATCCCTCCATAGGTATGAACCCATTCCGTTAAATCTATACCAAAATTTTTAGGTTTAATCATCAATGTATTTTTTAGCAATTAATTTACAAATTAGCCATAATTGTATATGAGGCACAATAAAAATGCTAGAATTTGCTAATTTTGTGGGGTACTTCCGATTAACGAAACTACAATTACGATGGTTGGTATATTTTAACCCGCCTCTGTCTTTCAGGAATTTCAAATAATTCACGGCCTCTTCATGGAGACATCGGAGTTTTATGTACAGCCGAATCACGTAGCATGATAAATCTCATAATTGTTAAATATTAATATCAAATTTGCGAAAAAGTGAAAGTTAGAAATGTTTTTTACAAAAAATAACAATTTACATGAAGAAGAACGTTTATTGACAAAATTAGATGATTTTTATCATAACAAATGCGATTAATTCAAATGCCATTACTAGGATGACATTTTAGTCGCTTTTGAGTTTTATAAAAGAGCCAATTCTGCAAAATTTCTCGACTTCGTGCAATTAGCAACGCAGTTTCTGTCAGGGATCTCTCTTCGAACTCTGTCCAGGCTCTCAAGGGAAGCTTTGTGTGACTTTGAAAATCTAATAGAAGCAACGATAAAATAAAATTTCAAACGCTAGTGATGACGCGTATGTGGCCAGCGAACATCCTTTTGAAGGCTATGGTGGCGCTGTCGACGCTCTTACTGCAGCCGACCGTCTTCCCGACCACGAACGTCGGGGACGACGCCGTCTTTGACTTCATCGTCGGTGAGATCACGAATTTTTAATACCTTACAGGAGCAGAAATTGCTTATATAGATGGTCTACTTGAACCAGAGTTAGCTGATCATGCCAGGAATTTTTTCTTTGTTATTTTTAGTATTTCGACTAAATATCGATGATTGTGGTGTCAGCGTTGATTATACGATGCTGTCTTCTAGCCGATAGCCGGTTTCGACCGGAGGACTTGCCAATTTTTATAAAAATTTTCACAGCTAGTCCAAGTTTTGAACCTTTAACTCACTACTTCAAGCAAATTGATCTTAAACTCTCGGCTACTCCGAACCGAGTGGTATTTTTTAGCCAAAATGCTGGGCAAGAATAGATAATGGTTTCTGTGCATTATTGTTGAATGATCGACGAAGACAAAATGTCGGATGTATAATAAATTTTTCGTTGAAGTACATATATTTAAAAATTCTTTATAAAAAATCATATGACTTTTGTGAGCTGAGCGTATTTTTTCTTAAAATTCGGTCTGGAAACACGTTTTTAAGAACAAAGGTAACATGGTTTGGAAACAAGTTGTTTTCTGTTCTATAGATAGCCAAGCAAACTAGTAATGATAATAATAACGATAATAAAAAATACTACTAATAAAATAATAATGAAAAACGTAATACTAATAATGATATAATGGAAATAAATAGGTTAATATCAACAACTGGGCAGTGGGCGCAGGCTCTGCGGGTTGTGCGCTGGCTGCGCGCTTGTCAGAGGTACGCTCTTGGCAAGTGCTGCTGCTCGAGGCCGGTGGGCAACCGCCTGCCGCCAGCAAGGTGAGAAGCACTGGCGAACAGCCTTGTCATGCAAAGGCGGCTTCTTTATAGCCGTTATATCTGACATCATCCGCCATAAAGTAGAGGAGTGCTATGAAAAAACTGCGGTCATAGTGGCCCAAATTAAGTGGTGTTATTTCTGCGTGTTTTCATTGTTTCTGCATAAAAATGGGGACGTTTACATCTGTTAACCACGGTCACTTTTTCGTCAAAGAGTTTTCAGGATATTGAATTACATACATTCTACTCCTAAAAAATTTTTAGCTTAAATTCCAGTAAAAATAATTATATATTTCATGCAAGCAATTTAATTTAATTAAAATGCGAATTTTGTTGGTAAGGCTATTCATTAGAGCCAATATTAAAGAAAACAGATCCGTATAGATGGACTGCCTTCCGGCTCTGCATTTGCACCAAGAACCTTGCCAAAGCAATTCACAATGACATCTCGAAAATTATTGCGTGTTAAATTAACGAGAATATAAATATATAATGAGTAATTTCTTCCTTACATTCAATATTGCAAGACTTTAATTGTACCTACATTTCACTTAATTCGGAGTAGTGACTTAAGTATTTTCCAGCTGATTTTCCCTGCGTTCATACCTGACAATTATCATGGTTAGACTTAATATGGTATTTTGTATATACTCACATAGAGTGTGATAAAGTATTTATTTGGACCTGACCATTACCTATATCACTTCAAAGCCTCTGTCAACGATAAACGATATAACGTTAATTCATATATTGTAGGTCTTAATATTTGGGTAATTTCCCATTCCAACAGATTCCAGGTTTCAGCATCTATTCATACAGCCGTAAGAGTATCTACAACTACTACTTCATGACGACCAGTCAGAAGAATGCACTTTACGCCTACGAAAATAACGTGCGTATGTACTCTAAATAGTATGAATTGTTTCCAGGTAAAATCGGTTTAAATTCAAATTCAGATATGCAACAAACATGCTGGCGAATATTTACCTGGTGATAGTTATAAGAGCAATTAAAGCGATAAAAATGTATTCAAAGCTTAAACAGCAACAGACATCTAAATATCACCGGAAATTGAACGACATTCCTGAAGTGTCAATTTCCTTCAAGTTTATGATTTCAATAACATAACATAACATAGTGATCTCGGCGCTGCAGTGTAGGCCTGATGTGGCCTGTCGCCGATTCTTTTCCTTTTCGTGCCTTGTTCACAGAAGATATGTCTTGGCAGCTTGGAAGTGATTGACCTGATTTTCCGTGCCTTTCCGCCTGATTCTCTCCTGCCACTTCTTGCGAAAAACCGCCCTTTCTAAGGGGGTGGAATCTTTCTTTACAAAAACTGACTTGTAATCAGCGGATTCTCCAAGCCTTCTCGCTGTTTTCAGAACACTCCAGACCTGAGCAGAATTCTTTACAGTCACCAGCAGAGGTCTGAAGGTGTTGCCAGCAGCATCCTTCGAGCGTAGCCTCTTGCAAGATATAACATCAATCGATGTGTTGAGTACCTTGCTGCAACAGTGTACAACAAAGGCCGTGTCATCCATCACTCGGTCCTTCGTATCAGATGCGTTACTTTCAGGAATCCCAAACCAGACCACGTTGGCCTTCCTACGTTCTCTATCAAGCAATTCACGTGACCTTTCACTAGCGACTTCAGATAAATCAGCTGTCTTGTTCTTTACTCCCATTTATTCCGTATTTTTCAAATGAGCCTTCACTTCAGCTAGCTCATTGCATAGCGAGCTCAGTTTGTCACTCAGCGAGCTCACCATCTCACTCAAGGAGTTTACTACGTCATTCAACAATTTAGACTCATTGCCGTGCTCTTCCACCGACTCCTCTCTTTTTCGAGCACCAAGAGTTGGTTTTTCGCAATCACGGCAAAACCAATCAAGCAATTTAGATTTCTGGAGAAATGTGTACTCCTTAGAGCTCAACTTCGAACAGCTGACACAAATGAGAACTTCACATCGTTCACAAGTGACCGTCTGGACTTCGCTCAAAGAGATCTCTTTGCTTTACTTGCAAACTTTCATCTCTAGCTAGGCTGATTTGGTTTTATTTTGTACTCTAGAGGCATTAGACGGCTTTCCTCTAGAGGCCGTAGAGGGCTTTTCGACTAACTTTTTTAATTTCTGTCCAGCCATTATTAAATGCACGAACTAGTTCTCTTGAACAGAGAAAAGTACGGAGAAAATACAGAAAAGGACGGAGAAACATACAAAACTGAGTTGAGTTGAGTATAGTAAAGTTCCCTCGAAAATTCCGGCTTTAGGAACAGCTGAGCTGCAGCTGGCGAGGGAAAGACAGAGATGTGGTGGGGGAATCAAGGGATCGACCGTGAGGCGGGTGGAGAGGGGGAGGTGTAGGGGCCATGAGGGTGGGAAGGGTATAGGAAGGCGAGGCCTGAGCGTCCTCAGGGCACCGATTGTCCTCCGTGACAGGCGATCGCCCAGGGTTCACAAGAAGTTACCAACTTTCCCTAGATTCATGCACGGCATTTGTCGGGAATAAAACACTTGCACTAGCTGATTTCTCACTATTCGCACAATTTTGACTGAACTGCACTAAAATTGAACCTTTCACTGAAATCGTTTCGGTACAAAATTCGAGAGATAAGTCAAACCGGCATAGTAAAAAGTGAGGAAGTTGGGACCCGCAAACACGCACGTGCGTCCTCGATCACTGCCAGAACTCAACTTCTCAAATTTTCAGAAGTTCTTTTTCTCAGAACTCAAATGTAATGCCAAATTTTCGTTCTCAATATAATTACATTTTATTCATCTGTCTGAGAAACCATGCAGGGTCATTTTCTCCGTTATATTTCTATTTATTTTCATTAGCAGAAACTTGTTTGGTTTAACGTTCACGAAAGCAATGCTTCCGATGCTGAGTTTATTACTGATTGCTGGGCCAAGGCACTTAGTCGTTGTGAATATAACGGCATGCAAGGGGCTGCGATCGAAAGACGCTACCACCTGCGTAGACAGCTGCTGGTGACTGTGCAGGATACAGCCCAGGTCGGACATGTGCTTAAGGCTGCGAGAAAACCATGTGAATTCCCAAAGTTTAATACAGTCTTTGTTAAGAAGGAAGCGACCTGTTTAGAGAGAGCGAATTTTCGCAAAAAGTGGCAGGAGAGACTCTGGCATAAAAGCATGGAGACTCAGGTCAACCACTCTCACGAAATCAAGATAACACCGGACGCACACGGTCAGTCAGCGGAGCTGGAAGACAAGTATGAAGTCACGTCCATAGATCCAGGCCTGTAAATAATGTAAGAAGTAAACGCATGCATCAAAGTGTAGGTGCACAAAGAGTTTGAAAATGTTTTTACACGAACTCGGATTCTGTTAGGAACAGAAAAGTGAACTGCTAACTGTGATCGAAAGCAAGTGCATAGAGATTATTTGTAATACAGAAATACTCCCTAAAAATCAGGGGGGAAAAATTGTACCTGTTGAATTTCAGTTGCCAGGTTCTGATTGTTTTCATAACTTAAATGAAGAGCAGTGCAGTAGAGGTGTAGCTTTGTGGGTTAGAACCTCATATGGAGCCCAGCAAATCAAGTTATCTGCAGAGCATCAATCAGCTAGGGAATCAGTGTGGTGCGAACTTTCTCTCAAAGGCATAGATAGCCTCCTCATAGGCGTCTTGTATAGATCACCAAACAGTTCCTCTGATAACGTTAAAGTACTAAACAGTCTTTACTGACTATCCTTTGGTCACACACGTTGATTGTCGGTGATTTTAATCATCCAGAGCTAGACTGGACAGAAGGATCCTCTCGAAGGGATGAGAATCACCCAGCATCCTTGTTCATGGAGTCTGTGAGAGACTGCTTCCTAGTCCAGCACGTTACCAAGACAACCCATTATAGAAGTAAACAGACTCCTAATATTCTAGACCTGGTGTTTACTAGTGATAAATCAATGTTGGATGAGCTTCGTCATGAGGCTCCATTGGGTAAAAGCCATCCCCAATCATTGGTTTTCAGTCTTAAGTGCTGTACAGGTAAGACTCCTCGGAAGCGTGAGCGTTTGAATTTTGCGAAAGACGACTGTGATAAACTCCGTGCAGCAGTGAATGCAGTGAATATTTCGAACTGTATTACGGACATGAACAGAGCTGGGTAGCGCTACTTGGAAATATAGCGCCGCTACCGCTACCGCTACATGCACTAAATGTAGCGGGCGCTACCGCTACCGCTATACCCCGTGCAGCAGTGAATGCAGTGAATATTTCGAACTGTATTACGGACATGAACAGAGCTGGGTAGCGCTGCTTTGAAATATAGCGCCGCTACCGCTACCGCTACATGCTCTAAATGTAACGGGCGCTACCGCTACCGCTACATCCACTAGATTGTAACGGGCGCTACCGCTACCCTGTCTCTTATACACATCTAGATGTGTATAAGAGACAGGGCCTACACTTCAGCGCCNTTCTAGCTAGGCTGAGAACAAAGAAGGAAGCCTACCAGCGTTATTTATTTAGACTCGTAGCGATGCTGATTACAACCTATGCGCATGAACTCGAAATCAAGCTAAAGAAAGCTATGGCATCGCAGTAAAAACCCTCGAAAAAAATATCGCTAAAAATGCAAATAGAACCCGAAAGCCTTCTTTTTGTACGCTAGCTCGAAGTGCAAGATAAAGAACGGTATTTCTGATTTGAAAGTAGATGAACGAAAGATATCCTCTGATGAGGGCAAGGCTAACTAACGTTCTTAATCAGTTTTTCAGTAGCGTATTCACTGAAGAGGACTTGAACAGTATTCCAGCTATTGAGGAGTGCCCAGTCGGCTCCAAATTAATAAGTTTTGAAATACAATAAGAAGAGGTTCTCAAGCGCCTGATCGCTGTAAATCCAAACAAGGAATGAGGACTGGACGGCTTCCACCCCAGATTACTCAAAGAGTTAGCAACTGTCCTAGCCGGCCCTTTGACGGCATATCTTCGAAAAACTTTGAACGAGGGGAAGTTGCCGGCTGACTGGAAACAAGCTCAATTGACACCATTGTTCAAAAAAGATGACAAAAGCTGCCCGGTCAACTATCGCCCTGTCAGTTTGAAAAGTGTCGTTTGCGAGGTAATGGAATTTATTGTGAGGAATCGATTGATCGATCATATGATTGCTAATAATCTCCTATCAGACTGGCAACATGGCTTTATTGCCGGGAGACCCTGCACCACTGACCACTTGTATACTCTGAACGAATGGACCCGCCTGCTGGACGAAAGGGAGCCAATAGATGCAGTGTACCTCGATTTCGTCAAGGCATTTTACAGTGTCCCACATGAGCGGTTGTTGCATAAATTGAAGTTTTTGGGAATTTAGAGTAATGTACTCAAATGGATCAGAGATTTCCTGGTAGGGAGACGTCAACGTGTCAGTATTAATGGGTCTATATCAGACTGGGCTTCAGTGTGCAGCGGGGTGCCACATGGAAGCGTTCCGGGGCCTGTTTCATTCGTTGCGTTTATAAACGATCTGCCAGAAGCTGTGTCTAGCGTGTGCTCGATGTATGCTGGCGACACAAAAATTTATAATACAGTGAAGAATACGGCGCAAAAAGTACAGTTGCAAGGTGATCTTGACAGGTTTGTTGACTGGGCTGATAAGTGGCAGCTGCGTTTTGACGCTGACAAATGTAAAGTAATCCACCGCGGCAAGAATAATGAAAAGCAAGATTACAGTATGAGAAGACACGGCTGCAGCGACAGAGTGAGGAAGTTGAAGTCGACAATGGAAAAAAGATTTAGGAGTAAATGAGTTAAAATTTTCTAAGCATATTGAAAGTCAAATTAATAAACCAATAAACATCTTGGACTGATCAGACGCTTTTTTGAGTTCCTAGATGCAGAAGCGATGAAGCAGTTGCTTGTTGCTGTCGTGCGACCGAACCTAGAGTTTGGAAACGTAGTGTGGTCACCGAAACTGGAAAAGGACAAAAATTTAGTCGAGAGTGTTCAAAGACGTGCAACAAGGATAATTCCGGGCTTGCAAGGCAAGTCCTATGAGGAAAGATTAAAGATTATGGTGCTTCCAAGCCTCAGTTATCGACGTCTCCGTGGTGACCTCATTGAAGTATACAAGTATACTCATGGTCTATACAAGGTCCCAGAAGGATTACTAGAATTTGAATAAAAAACCAACACCAGGGGCCACAGCTATAAACTAAAATACGTTGTAAAATACTGCGTTGCGACATTACATCTTCTCGCTTCAAGTCACCGACATGTGGAACAGCCTCCCTGACAGCATCGTTGACGCTCCGAGTATGAACGCCTTCAAGAACAGACTAGACGGAGCTATGCAGATGCATATGTTTAGTCTTAAAATGCCTAGCACCTTACGGACCAGGCAATAAGTCCAGCAGTTATCTCAATCAATTGTCAGTTATGGAAAGATCGGGTTCCAAAGGCCGGATCCCTTGTGAATCAAGTCACGAAAAGTATAAGAATCAGCAAAGGCCATGGGCCTATTTCATCAGTGCCGACACTTCTATTCTAATCTATTCTATTCTAACTCTTCTTGAAACAATGGATGCATAAAAGGCATCCCTCAGTTCCAGTTCTTTTATGATCGATTAGTTGATAATAACTGAGGAACTTCTAAAATTGTTCAATTCCCTCGATGCCATCACGTGCAGAAACTTGTTGCGAATTCGGGAAAAGTCGTTGGAGGCTCGAGCGCGGTGAACTTCATGCTGTATTATCGCGGCAACCGCCGTGACTACGACCGCTGGGCGGCCCTCGGCAACACTGGCTGGGACTACGATACTGTCCTGCCATACTACAAGAAAGCCGAGAACTATGAAGGAAAACTCTCTGCTGAAGACTGTGAGTTTATTTTCTATTTATAACAATTCATCACACAGATTTATCCTCAGATAACTATACGAAAAGTTAAATTAATGTTGTAGTAAGCCAGTGTGCAGAGTACATTACACGGCACGCTTAGCAGCTTCTGGCTCAGAAATGGGATAGATTTGCCACATAGGGTACAACAGCAATTTTTTGTAAATCAGCAGATGTGTGTCATTCTAATTTGCGGAACAGAATTTTCCTTTAGCAATGAACATAGTAGGTCACAAATATTTTAAATCACCTCTTACTGGCGATGCATGTGGCGGTTCTAAAAATAACACAAATTTCGATTTGGTTCGCGTACAGTTGCGAAAAATTCAATGAAATTACCACAAAACACCTTCTCCAGCTTGGGCGAAAAAGGCTATTCAAGGTGCAATGGAATATTTTCCAAATTTATGTTATCCTGGTATATTTAAAAAATTTATGTCATCCTGAATTATCCTGAAAGCAATATAATAATCTGTCAGTAATTTTTTTGTGCTCAATAATCCTGCATCCTTATGTGGTCATTTCGTACAGGCTACACTCTAATTAGTATTAAACATTCTAAAATATTCATTATTTGATTGAATTTGACTTCATTTAACTTTTCAGTGCCGTATCATGGTTTGGGAGGACCACTCTCGGTCTCCAACTCGAATTGGTTCGACCTTTCCAAGTATGTCTTCGCGGCAGCCAGGGAAATGGGTTTTAAAAAAATTGACCCCAACGCTAAAAAGACAATTGGTATGTATTGTGCGAAAAATCATCGCAATGAACCTATTGCACTTTATTGGTAATTTTATGTGATATTATTTTTGCACTGATATTAATAGAGTAATCTTTGGATGCACACAATGTATTCAAATTATAAATGAAATTTCTTATTGTGGCATTTTGGTACGAATCTGTTAATTTAGTGCAAATTTATTTCAGTAAAAATTTTAATTTTGGGCAAAGTAAAACGTTTTTTTATTAATGCTACGAGACGGAATATTCATGGTAGTTCAAATTTGAGTCTCAATGAAAAGCAGGTGATGTTTTATTCAGGATACTTCCTGCCGGATTATACCGCAAAGAAAGGCGAACGCCACTCAGCAGCAGAAGCCTATCTCAAGCCCACCCTGAGCAGACCAAATCTCTCCCTGCAGACCGATTCGCAAGTTATAAGGGTACAAACTGTCAGATAACTACTTTGTTGGAGTAGAACTGATCAAGACTCTAAGTTCTCCAGTAGTACTCACTCACATAAAAGTCAAATTGTTGAAATAGAAAGGAGGAAAGCATCAAAACAGAACTTTACAATTTACCGAAATATAGATAGAAAGTTCTTAGAATATAGTAACTGAAATATAGAAAGAAGCTCTTACCTTTCGATCTCTTTTGTCACACCGAAATAGAACTAACTGGTGTAGGGATCCGATCAAAGCATAATTTTGTTAAATGTGTCATCATAATATAAGCTAACAAGAGAACAATTTTTCAAATTTATGATTCTAATCGATATCAATGTCTGCCAATAGGCCAAGCCAATTTTTCTTCAATTGTAAACTGACCGTTTTGACTTAAATTCCACCATGTTAAATGTAAATTGTGGACCATGTTGACCACACGATTCTGAATAATGTCAAATGAATGGAAATGGTAACCTAAATCTAAAGAGCTCCAATATACGCATTTCAAAATTATAAAGTATTCAAGAAAAAATAATATACGTGAATTTGTCTCTGATCATTGAGGCCAACTTATAAAATACCTGTTTGCAGAACGACTTCATATTATTGAAACAAAGAAGAAAAACAATAATAATAATCTGTAAAGTCCATCGCTCGGAAGTTATTTTAAAATGTAAAAATCGATCTTACAATCATCATGCAATAATTAGAGATGCAATTGATTTATACAAAAAATGTATTCATGTAGACCAATTACGAATTAACATAACCTTAATAGAAATATTTGAATTTATACATGTGCATCTTTGTTTGAAAAATCTTATAATAATGAGTTTAGGAAACATAACTTTAAAGAATTATATGACTGAGTTTCCCTTTATTTTCAGATTCTGTTTAACAACAAAAACAGAGCTATAGGAGTTCGCTACATGCAAGGAGGTCGGGTAAGTCAACGACCTTATCGAACTCTCAATTTAAATTATATTCTTAAATCGCAGAGCCCGGATCAAATTATTTTGGTACATGCCTCGGGGCCAATTTAGAGGAGCTTAACTAATAAATCCTGTAAATTATTCATAGATATTTATGATTTTATCACCATTATTCATCACCGATCCTACCGAGTTTAATTTTCAAAAAATTTATCCAAACTTGTAATATTCATCAATATTGATTGTCCTTGATATTTTATATTTTCTTTATATAATAATAAATTATTTAAACCATAATTAATTTATGTTTTTCACTATTCAATTATTCATTTATTAATGATTTTTTATTTATCATTATTTAAACTACGCAGGTTAAACAAGCGTTCGCCCGTAAAGAAGTGATCATCAGTGCCGGTGTCATCAACAGCCCCAAGCTGCTCATGCTCTCCGGCATTGGGCCCAAGGAACACCTCAGATCAGTTGGGGTGAGTTACAAATCATCCCAATTATATAGTTCTATAAATATTTTTGAATTATACAATTGATACTCTAAGTTATAAATATTCTGTGAAACTCATGATGGAGTCGAGGGGAAAGTTCACTAAGTCACAGTCTTCTAAGCTCTGGCTGGTTAAAATGATAAGAGTCCTACTTTCAAAGATAAATCGAAAATATTACATGACACCCAACAATCATTCGACCGCATACTCGACTAGAAAATTTCAGTTTTTCTCATATTTAACTTGAACATATGCGAACAGGTATTATAAAAGTCAAGTCTACAGGTCGAGTTTTAAAATTTGCGTGGAAGATGTTTATCATCAATATAAATATTTTAGTTTAATTCCTAATTATTATAACCACCACTTTATATCGTATTGATGTCGTATTATCAGTCGTACTCCTGCTTCTATTTCACATGCTCAGCCTAATTCTTAATTCGCTTTTGTTACTTATTTCAACCCATCGAGCAATTTTCCCTTCTGCTGTCTTTGCTCTCTCCTCGTCCAGACTTTTTCATTTTTGTTCAAAGAAAGAAAATCGAAAATTGATCGCGTGGCATGCGTATCTCCGTTAGGGCGGAAAAATCCAATAGCATCTGGAAGCGAAATTATGGATGAAATTGTCATATATTCAAGGAATGCCATCCTGCTGTAAATTCTTGTAACTCTTGCAGTTAATTCGACACTCGATACACTTTAGAGCTTGATGAATATCTTGAAATGTTTGGCCCCAAGCATAAATCAAAGCTTCTTTAGCGAAAGTATTTAAAAAAAAGGAAAGAGATGTAATTTTATCTTTGAAATTTAAAGTTGGCAGAACTATTTGAAAAAAATCAATCGTCCATAACAGTTTCTTAATTTTTACTTTTTACTATCTTCCATCTGCCCTTCTCTCTGCCATTTTATGTCAACGTAAGAGAAACTACGCGTAGCATCTTTCAAAATTTAAAATCAACTCAACTCCTCAGTCCGATATGGGGAGTTATTGATGGCGTTTCCTATTGTTTCGCTCATGATTTAATAAGCGCCATTCACCGGACGAGTTTAAACCTTTCGTGACTGACGGGACCAAGCCACTAGTTCTTGATACCAAGCCACTAGTTACGAATAGCATTGACGACGGTAAATGTATCCGAGATCAAAGAGTTAAAATGGCACTTCTGGATCAGAGAACATTAATTATCTAAAACTTATTTGAGTCAAAAATAACCGCGGTGTTTACCAATTGCTCCATAAGAAAACTTTCAATTGATGAATTTATATTATAAAATATTCCTCAAAATCCGACAAATAACTACTCGACCTGTCATTCATTTATCGCAGTTATTTGACAACGTATTTGCTTGCAATAATGCCTGTATATGTACGCTCTATAACTCTTTGGTGACAGATAAAAGCTCGAGTTGACGTGCCAGGTGTGGGTAAAAATTTCCACGACCACATTACCCTGCACGGCCTCTACTGGCTGATTAAGATGGGACCAAACGAGGTCCCTGCAGTGCCCTTAAACAACTTAAGCCCGCAAATCTTGAAGGACTACAAGGAGAAGAGGACCGGTAAGTTCACTTTCAATCGTAAATTACGTTTCTTTCTTCTCTCGGATTCGGGTCTAAGGTCGATGAATCTCCCTCTGCAAATAACTTTCCTCCATGAGCCCTCCACTCGTCCAAAACTTTACATTATAGTTTTTGATATCATTGAAAGACATGCACTCCACGAAACTTTATCCGTGCACCTGACACAGAGATGAACCTCAATATGGGTCTCCTGGGGGTATCCAAAGCATTCCACGGAATAAAAATACCCTCAACTAGATATCCAACTCAAACATCACCATATCATTCAGTAAACTTTCAACTATATCGTAAGGTGAGGCTCATCAAACTGCTGGACGCGACGAATGAGAAAAGTTCCAAAATGTCGCGGTGATGTACGCTTATGACGACCGACCACATAGCCAACGACTGAAATATTGTCCAAGGCCCTACATTTACGTACTTATCACGCTTGTCGCCATCGTCACTACTTTCGCAGGAGATTAAAATTTCAATGCAAAAAGATTAGTAATATAACTGCCCGATTTTCTGTCACTTTTACCCTATCGATCAGATATTAACACCAAGCACCCACAAGCAACCAAATAAAGCACCTAGACTCCTAGAGCCTTAGTGCATTTCATCCCGCGATTTCAAGTGCTCTAGATCCATTGAAATCTCTAAGCGGCTTTCCTAGTTTCAAAATTTTCCGAGTTGCACTGCGCGATCACATACACAAAAATAGCTAAAGGTAAACTAGCGATTCTGTGGTATTTCGAGAGTCATAATTTTCGAACATTACAAATTTCTTTAACCCAGTTTCTTGTCTAAAAACCCTTATAATTTCCTCTCAATGTTTTTGAACCATTTTAATTTTTTGGCCTTAATTAAGACTAAAAAGTTTTCGTCTGGAAACCCAGTAAAATTTCTCGTCTGAAAATTCAGATGAACTACTTGGCCAATTTTCAGGCAAATTTTTTTAATTCCAGTGGGATCTCATGAATGTCCCTGAATCTGGCAGGTCCTCTGTCGAATCCCCTGTCTGTGGTGGGGGTGATCCAGAGGAAGCTGGGGGAGGAAGGGGACCCAGCAATGTCTGATCTCATGTACCAGTTTAACCAATTACCGATGTGGGATGACAGGGGCATATTGCGAGCGCGGATGCTCCACCTCAAGAATGAGGTACAAATACTTAACTTTTGTCCGCAATTCAACCCTTTAGCGTCTAGCTGTACATATCTGTCACCTTTCATAAAGACGACTTTTGTTAACATTTAAAGCTTAATTAGAAAGATATATTGGCTTTAATTTCAGGCTGCTATGCCCAGGTGGAGGTTTTTGTCACCAGTCAGGTTTTTTTTAATGAATAAATTTCAGCAATTCGGTTTGATGCCTTAAAGTATTTTGCACTCGTTAGGTAGCTGGTCGCTGGAGGGTTATGAGGTTCATAGGAAGGAACTAAAAAATAAAGAATGAGTATTTAACAAAAAATATATTGTGCTCAAATCTATGAAATTGAAAAAACTAAGTTGCCTAAAGTAAGGGGATTTTTATGGTAAATTTTTGAAAATTGTCCTGTTATGAAATAAACAATTCATTAGTTAAGGTACGAGAAATGGAGAAAATTGGTCTTTAAATTTCATGTTCACATGAAATTGGCGTGAACAAATTTAGTGTGAGTGGTAACTGCTCTGAATTAAATATTTTTACGAAGCTCCATTTGTTTTTTGCAATGATCTCCTCAATTGAGGCTACCTGATAGCATAAATCCTCATTATTTGAGGCCACTTCATAGCATAAATCCTCATCCTCAGTTTAGGATACATGTGTAACCGGAAACACCGCCGCGAAGTTGAAATAATTATAGGGACGCGCACCGACTTGACAGTGACTTCCGTATAGGTTTTAACACAAGGGCTAAAGAGTCGCTCTTTAGTCCGGCTCTAAATTCCCTTGCGTTGGAGAGAGGAGAAATGAACACGAGGAAATTTTCGTAATATATTGTTGATCTTCAGGCGATACACAAATTCCACTGTACAAGGCACGCAATTTATTATTCGTTATAAGTCCAAAAGCTCCGGGAGACAGGATCCCAACTTCAGGGACACAATGTTGACAAGTCCTAATAAACTGTCGAGAGCCACAAAAGCGGACAGCAAGGGTACAGGTACGAGCTGCACCACGATGCTGACAACCAATGCAATGATCAGGGGTCCGGCTCTAATCATTGCCGGACAAAAATCCAAATTTTAGAGTGCTAAAATGCGCTCACAAGAACACAGAAACTGGTTGGCAATAACGCCTGAAAAGCACGACGATCGAAGGGTACCAGCCCCCAATACGCCGCTGTCAATTTACTCGATCGCAGGGGTTATTAGCCTCTACAACACGAGGGTGCGAACGACTATTAACCGCCCAACGCAGCCAAAAGCTGGAACTAGCCCAGAATTCCCCAAGGCCGTAATTAGTCCGTTAGTGGATCTCTTTACGAGATATGTCCAGAACTACGGTGGAGTTTATTCTTGGAAGCCCAGATCTGGCTCTCTTCCTAAATTCCAGTCGAAACGTCTGCACCCCAAACCTATACCACTGAGCACACAAGGTTCATCCGCGAGGGGTAACTCAACTAGAATAATGTCAACACAATACCTCGTATATAAGGAGCACAAAACGGGCTGTTAACACTCTCTAAGTGCCAAAATATAGATAATATAATACAATACAATGAAGTAATCATAATTGTAATCAATTGGCAAACTAATCACAAGGGAATAGTCAAATAATCCTAAACTAATTTCAAAGAGACCGAGCTCTCCATCGTCCAAGACTACCTAAGGGAATAAACGTGCACCATCGCGAGGCTAGGAGCAACTCGACCAATCACGTTAGAGCTACAACATTCAGTCTCGTCCTAAGACGCTAATAACTAAATCCTATGAATTACCAAAATAATATTACAATTAAACGAGATTGAATGCCGCTGTATTAAGGGGAGTGTCTACTCTGAAATTTTGGATTATGGCTTTTCCGGTTTTTAGTCTCATCTTAAAGCTGACATTCTGACCTATCAACGGTACCAAAACCATCTTTGTACGTTGATTTATGCGTTCACGACAGATCACGAAATTGAGGGGGGTGGGAGAATTCTTTAACAAATAGAATGGGAGGAAATTCGCTGCGAGCACTTTAAATAGAGTGTCTGCTTGAAGTGCACCTTAGTTACCCGCCTGGCGTCGCATGAGAAGGTGTGCATGCAGTCGCTCCCACCATCCTTGACTGGAATCAAGCTCCTGTAACGTTTAGTTTTGTATCCTTGCTACATTGAGTGCCTATTCCGATGCGCGCGGGACTTCGACGGGCTCGCTCTACTGAAAAGTTAACTTATTTTTACTGCAAACCTATCTCCTAGAGTTTGAAGCTACAATAATAAGACATATATCATTCGATTCGCAAATAAAATATCTACAAAGTTGTGTAGGCGTTTTTCTAATTTCGTTATAGTTTGGATTTGATTTAGTAAAAAGTGGGGAAAAAACGAAAAAGTCGAAAAATTTCTGAAAAATTTACAAAAAATAGCCCCCCCACCCACAAAAATTTGAATTTAAAGAAACGCCTACACAGTTTTGTAGATATGGTCCTTACGCATCGAAAGATATGCGTTTCGATGTCCTAGCTTGAAAATCCTAGTAGGAGATGAATTTCTATGGTACCCTCTTTTTGGCCGTTGTCTAAGAAATTTACGTTTTCTTTCATTTTTTCGAAAAATTCACACGAAACAAAATGCGAGTTTTTTTTCCATTTTACATGGGTGTACCAAGTTTCAGAGTGATCCTTCTGTAAATAGCCGAGATAAATTTTACGTTCGACGTTCCCCTTAAAATCAAAATACACTCGCATTACTTAGTCTTTTTATAACGTAATATATAACACCAAAACTCTAATCTTATAATGAAGTCGGATCTTACAAGTCTCTCCAATACTACGTTCTAAAAAAATTATTTCACAAAATTCGAGTTCCGTTACACATGTAATGCAGATATTCGCAAGAATTCATTGTCGTAAGTAGTTGTTAAAAGTTTTTTTACAATATAGTTGTTGCAATTATTTTGCAATAACTGTAACGGGCTTTCGAGTGATATATTTTATTGCATTTACTCAAATATGTCGTATTAAGTAATTATTTATTTGAGAGTTTTCGCTTGGCGATTGTTCACCATAGAAAAAATAGTTTATTTGTGAAGCAGTTGTGATCTTAAATCTCGGTTAAAGATGTACATTGTCAGAGAAAATTGAAATTGAGAAGAGAAACAATGCTTAAAGAATATCGTATTAAAGGTAACTTAGACTGCTAACACAATTTTTACATTCCTCATGACTGATTATCCGTAATTCATAATTTTCATTAGTCTGGGTATTCAAAGTTATGTTACTACATGTTGAAGTTCAAGAGTTATGCAAATAATATAAATAATATTCGGTGATTAGAGTTAACCTTATAACGCCTATATTCCTGGCCTTCAGAGTGCACGGCGTGGACGGTCTCAGGGTTGTGGACCTCTCCATTGTTCCCATCGTGACTTCAGGTCGGTTAGTTTAGCCTAATTACTTCATATAAACTTTTTCTAGATAATCTTACTTGTACATTTGTACTAGACGGGTACAGGTCACTTAACTACAGATTAATTTGTTCATTTGCGAGAAAGTAAACTTTACATATTTGAACTATTTTTACGATAAAAACTGCATCATAAGTTCCACGGTGCAAACGGATAAGCATAAACATAGTCTTTTAGTTTTATTAGAGTCTGCATTAAAATGATATTAAATTTATAACATGCATTAAAATACTCATTAAAATACTCAATGCACTGAGGCGAACTTCATTTGTTCGCGTGTAGCTTGGTGGATATAAATTTAGGTTTAATGCCCATGTTGACTTAAAGCTTTTCTCCCACACGAGATCATCGGGCCTCTACGAGATGTACTCTCACGCGCGCTGAAGGTAGACGACAGCACACGAATTTTTTTATTATTACCACGTTTTTCTTTGCTCGCTTTCGTGTCCGTCTGTCTGTCTGTCTGTCTGTTTGTGATGATCAAATCTTGCAATCGATATTTCACCAAATTTCCCTCTAGCTAGCGCTCTGAAACTTTTAGGGAAACTCAGCTCCCGATGACAATACAATAATCAATAATTTGTTGCACGTTTCCAGGCGTATTTATTCAATGAAATGTCGACCGAGAAATTGTGTACGCTGCTGCCGCGGTGACGCGGTGCGCCGCTGTTGTGATGGCGAGCAAAGCCTGGCTTAAATTTCAGGACCCGCTTGCCTAACCAATATTACTATCACTTAGCGCCGTTCATTCATTGCTTCTTTTATCGTATTTTAATGTCTTTCATTACCGAACCTTTCTTTATTACAGCCACGCACCCAGATAAATACGGGAACAACAATGTATCCCCTGTCTCTTATACACATCTAGATGTGTATAAGAGACAGCTGTTCATTAATCGAATTTACATGAATATTATCAATAAGCCCCTGCAATGTCTCCATCAGGACACGGAGGTGGTGAGTGACCGCGCCAGAGGTGTCCTAGTGACGAAGGACTCGTTGGTGCTGCAGCGCGTCNGACCACGGGATGCTGTAGTCCACAGGACCACGGGATGCTGTAGTCCACAGGACCACGGGTTGCTGTGGTCCACAGGACCACGGGATGCTGTGGTCCAGTCACTCCATAAAAATAAGTTTGGCAATATGGGCATTCACAAATCCTACGTTAACGCATTGTTAAGTTTAAGGATTAAAGCTTATTTACGTGTTTTCTGGCCCAGTATATAATTTTAGTCGCGATTGCCATAATATTGAGCTCTCAGATAACAGTATTTTGTTCTTCAGTTTTCGATACGAATGTCGGTTTCCATTGATCATTGTTAATTAATTAATGCTGGCAATGTTGTAATTAAGTGAAGTAAGTTAATAAAGAATAACTTCATCTTCCAGGCTTCTTAATACGGCTTTAGTGCGGTCCGTTACTGCAGCTGTAGTGTGGTCCGTTACTGCAGCTGTAGTGTGGTCCGTTACTGCAGCTGCAGTGTGGTCCGTTACCGCAGCTGTAGTGTGGTCAGTTACCGCAGCTGCGGTGTTACAATATTGTCTGTTGAAGAAGTCCAGCTAAATGTTTCTATTCTCAACATGTCGATGTGTTTTTTCTTGTCAACGTCTGTATCCATACAAACTCCGTTTACCAAAATATGTGGAACAATGAATTATGTTTAATGTAAATGTGTAATGTAATATATGTTATGTAGGCATTTTTAATTAAACTGTTGAATATTGATTGAATTAAATTGTTCAATTTACTTCACGAAACACAATGAATTCGTGTTGAATAGCTCGCTGCGATGTGCTGTGATAACACTGTTGTTATACATGATGTGCTGCGATAACACTCTTGTTATACATGATGTGCTGCGATAACACTGTTGTTATGCATGATGTGCTGCGATAACACTCTTGCTATACATGATGTGCAGCGATAACACTCTTGTTATACATGATATGCTGCGATAACACTCATGTTATACATGATGTGCTGCGATAACACTCTTGTTATACATGATGTGCTGCGATAACACTCTTGTTATACATGATGTGCTGCGATAACACTCTTGTTATACATGATGTGC